CACTTAGCTTTAAAAATGTGGGACCAATTCCATCTAAACCTGCGGATTTATTAATATTAAGGTGTTTTAGTTGTGAACACACCTCTCCAACAGAAATGAGTTTTAATTTCAAATTTTCAGTTTCCTTAAAATTTTTACTAGTAAAAATTTGTAGCTTAGAAAAATTCATTTCTGAAGTATTATTTCCAATAAGTTTTTCAGCTACGGAAGAAAAATGAACATTTAGTGTATTAACAATATCTTGGGAGTTATAAACAGTTTGATTTTCATACTGCATTTTAGGTGGAAAAATATTATCCATTTTTGGATTTAACTCTTTAATGTGATTCCAAAGTTCTTTACTATTTTGGAACTAGATATAGCGTTTTGATAATATTCCTTTTTTTGCATTAAATATTAACGACGTTGTTTTATTACGCCACTTTTTAAAGTTTAACCAATCTTTTTTTGAATGATACATATTTCTGTATTGAATGGAATTTTTAATTTCTTCATTGAACCATTCGGCTTGTTTAAATGTTTTTACTCTTTTAGTTTTCATTGGTGCGTGCTTGTTAATAACTTGATTAAAAAGTTCATACCATTTGTCGACAGAAATATCAATATCTTCTTCCATTTCAACAATATGAAAAGGGGTTTGATGTAAGTCTGCACAAAAGGCATCTTCATTAAAGTTTTTGAAACACCTATACTTTATTTCAATATGATTTTCTTTCTTTACCTTTATATTGATTTTTCTATTTAAGCATACAGGGTAGTGGTCACTTAAAGCATATGAAGGAACATGACAATGAGCAATATTTTCAGGATTAGTAGTGTAAATATGACCAATAAGAGTTTCTGATTTGTCACAAATACGTGTTGCAGTGCAAATTTGTTGTTGAAGATTAAAATGGTTTATGAAATTCATCCATTTTTTATTTTCAATTTTTATCAAGTCAATATTAAAGTCCCCCATTAAAATGATCTCTTTGTTTTCTGAAAGAGCTGCATTAAATTCCTCCTCAAAAAGATCTATCCAGGACTGAGGGGAATTTGGTGGTCTATAAACAGTACAAATGAAGAAAGGTTTAGATTTTGGAAATTCTACCTCTAACATGTTGTTTTCTTTCGGATGACAAAGCTACCACCATCGTTGTCATTGGTTAGCTTATGTCGGATTACAAAGCTACCACCAGCATTGTCATTGGATGACTTAAGTCGGATAACAAAGCTACCACCAGTGTTGTCATTGGTTGACTTAAGTAAATGTGTATGTTCCAGATAACAAAGCTTCTACCAGTGTTGTCATAGGTTTACTAACGTATTATACTGAGATACTTAAAATCGAGTAATCATATAAGTATTCTAGTACGTTCATACAAACTACAACTGAAGATGAGATTGTATAGATGAACATGTTTACTCATCAAATAAACTTAAAAACTTCAACAGAACACCACAAGGTTACCACTATTCAAATAAGGAACCTACTATAGTATTGTCTGCTTCAAGTTTAAAATTGTCAACCACAAATATTAGAGAGGCAAAAGATACCAAAGGATAAATTGAAAATAAACCCGACAATGCTATGGCAAAAACGAAAAACGACCAAAAGAAAAACAACAGTACACAAAACACAATATAGAAAACTGAAGACTGACCAACACGAACTTCAGCAAAAACCGGAGGTGGTATCAAGTGCTCAAAAAAGGGGGGTAAACAGATCCTGCTTCACATGCGACATCCGTCTAGTTACTCTTATGATATACGTTGATAAACTCCTATAATGTACTTTGATAAGTTTTAATAAGTGATTAGGAATCACAAAATAGCGGATTGGTTTTTGACTCCTATCTAACCCTAAGACATCACCAATCTAAGAAACCACCGTTTAAGTAAATGTTCTAACCCCGACACTTAACCGACAAATAGTAAGGTTCTATTGACTAGTGTTTACAACCTATGGTGAAGTTTTTATTAAATTAATTTACCATCAATTATGTAAATAGTGATGCATACGTAAAGGTTCTTGGAAAGTCATGGAAAAGCAATGTTCGGTCAAATTTTATTTGCCTCGGCTTTATACTTTTGACAAAAGACACATTTCCTATATATATAAAGACTGAAAGGTATTCTAATAAATCATGATTATCAAACCTTATTGTGTCGTTACAATTTCCTTTTTAGTAGTAAAACTCACCACACATTGTACAGATAGAAATAGGTTAATAACAAAAGCTTTTTTGTACGGAAAAAGGGGGTAAGGCAGTAGCTCATGTCCTAATATTAATGACAAGGCATAGAATAAAGGCTATTTTCCAGTGTATCTTTAAATAAATGAAGTTTGAAGACTAACACAAATATTTATAGACAAAATTCAAAACTCCAAATATTGATAGTCCGTGAAGGCACTGGCGTCATCATATGGCATTTTTGTTGCTGGAGCCTCGGGACGTCAGACCAACTTTTTTTAGTTGTTTTTTTTAGAATTCTGTGTACACCTGAAGGATGGTTTTTGTTCGATTTATATACAATACATTTCTTCTTTTTTGAATTCATGTGCCAAAATAAACTCGTCTCCCTTATCTACCTCAACTTACTCTAACCAATATAAAATTAAGAAGATGTGGTATGATTGCTAATGAGACAACTCTCCACCATAGACCAAGTTTAACGTTATTAGTAGATTTGTTATAGCTTGATGTAAGAATTTCTAACGAATTACGACAAAAGAAACATGTTTTCCTATACGTTATATCTCAATTAAATCTAAAATGTTATTTGCACTAACAGCATTCTATCAAAACTATTTCTATGTAGCGTTAATTTCTATCAGAACTCTTTGAGTCTTTCTATGAAGGTTAATATAAAATAAGATGTTGTATGATTGCCAACCAGACAACTCTCCACCAGAGACCAAATGAAGCAGAAGTTAACAGCTATGTCCACCATTGTTAGTTGGCATGCGGGATCATCGGACACATTTTAAACTAGATATCCAAATAATGTGTGTGTCCACGTTTAGTTCCAATTGGACCAATAGCTTTAGATGAGATTTTCGTAAATTTTACCGGACGACGGCAGACTCCAAGTGATAAGAAAAGCTCCCACTGACATTTGGGCTAGGTGAGTTAAAAATGCAAACCATAGATTAAAAACAATCGTCTTTCCAGGGCTTTAGCCCATATAAGGGGTCAATTGATGATTTCGTCCATGTGACTTATTTGTAGAGCTTATTGTTCTGTCATTTTTTTACGGCTTGGAATTTCTATCTATCCATTACAGTTTTCAATAAATTAACCAAAACTTCGAAATTTTCAAAATAATGACATTTCAGATCCAATAACTCTAAAATGAATTGTATTTTATATTAAAATTATAAAGATAGACCTTCGCCTGCTCATCATTTTACCCATTACCTCTCTAACTGCTTTAATTTTACCAACATGTTCTATTTTTAGCAACAGCGGTCATGTGTGTTGATGGGTCAAATCCCTGGATACATTTTTAAAACTAGATACCATATTAAGGAACATCTATGTAAAGTTTACAACGGATACCAAGTGATGGCAAAAGCTATCATTTTGGCCAGGTCAACTAAAGATCTAATAATTCTAATCCTAATATGCCCATTTTCCATGTCAAACAACACCAATGTTATTCAATGTTCTTTCATTTTCATAAACACGAGATTGTAACAGCAAGTAATAACTTTAAACTTAGCACGATGCAGCATTTCTACATTCACAGGAAAGTGGGGACTAGCCTTTAACAGTCTCAAATTTGACAAATTTGAGCAGGTGGTTTATCAAATTCAAATGTAAAAGATTTATACTTGGGAAGTGGCTAACAAAGTTGTCATTGTATAAACTGTTTAAATCTTTTGCAAACCGAAATCAAAGTAAAATCGAATTAAGCGTATACTAATAAAAATTCGTAAGGGTTCCGCGGAACCTAGTGTCTCGCCTACTTTTGCTGTTGTCTATGTTTTCAGTGTGATAGGGGAATGCACATAATAGATTTACAGTTAATGAAATAAAACTTTTGAAATGTATGAAAAAAGTTATGCTTGTGAAAAATGAATACAGTATGCAATCAAATCGATAGATTTATAAAAGAGTTGAAACATAAATTTATTGAATGAACAAATGATAAAGAAGATATCCTTTTGATCATTAACAAGCTTCTATGCAAGTTTGGTAAAAATCCAGGATGGTTTATGAATCTAATAAATGTTTTAAAAACTTTAACTGCAGACTGTATGTAATGTTAATTGGAAGAAAAACTAAGTCCATTTATAAGTAATATACGGAAAAACAGGAAATAAATGTTTTCAAAATTTCCTTCTAGATACTAGCTTTTGATCATAAACAAGCTTCTGTCCAAGTTTGGTACAAATCCAGGATAGTTAAGAAAGTTATTAAATTTTTTAAAACTTTCACCACAGAGTGAATGTAATGTTAACTGGCAGAAAAACTAAGTCCACTAATAAGTAAAATACGGATAAACAGGATTTTTTTTTTACAAAATTTACTTCTGGATACTATCTATGATCATAAACAAGCTTCTGTCCAAGTTTGGTAGAAATCCAGGATATTTTAAGAAAGTTATTAAAATTTTTAAAACTTTAACCACAGAGTGAATGTAATGTTAACTGGCAGAAAAACTAAGTCCACTAATAAGTAAAATACGGATAAACAGGATTTTTTTTTTACAAAATTTACTTCTGGATACTATCTAATGATCATAAACAAGCTTCTGTCCAAGTTTGGTAGAAATCCAGGATATTTTAAGAAAGTTATTAAAATTTCAAAAACTTTCACCACGGAGTGAATATTTGTGGACGCCGCCGCCGACGACAACGACGACGGAATGTAGGATCGCTATGTCTCGCTTTTGCGACAAAATTCACAGGCTCGACAAAAATCATTCTATTATATAAAAGTAAACGAACTATATAATTCAATATTATAGTAATCAATGTGTTTTTGGACTTTGATAAATAAGAGATTAACACATTGTATGTACATGATATTTAATGTCTATCTCTGACAACAACAAAGTAAATCAAGTAACAAATATGTTCTCTTTTTTAAATTGAACTAAAATTATGCAATATTCAATGATTGTTCCATTACAAAAATTCAATGATTGTTCCATTACAAATACTCAATAATTGTTCCCTTACAGAACACACATGATTTTTAAACAAGCTTTTCTCAAAATGTTGTTCTATATAACAAAAAGAACCGAAAGTCTTTTATCTCTTTTTGATAGAACTGTAAATATGCACCATTCAAGCATTAGTTCACTAGCAAATTAACACAATTACGCTTTTTCGTCATTCAAAAACAATAACAATGAACACAAAATAAAATCATAAAGTAATGAGTTCAAATGTCTATAGTCTGCAATTGTGAAGATGACAAATTGAAAATAAAACTAAAAGTCATCCTGGGTCTACTTTTTTGCTTGTTCCATTTCAACATCTTCAACCGTTGGTGCACGGATTGTAAGATTCCCTTCTTCATCCCTAAAGCATTCGATGTTTTTCCCATCCACAGACCGCGGAACTGTCATCTGACGAAAAAACGACTCACGAATTTCATGACCATCTTCAGACCTTTTTCGTTCTCCTTGGGCCGTCAACATCCCATCTTTGCATAATACTTTAACCTCCTCTGGCCGGTAGTTTTCGACATTGAATTTCATCAAATTGCTATGACTGTCACTGGCCACCAAGACACGACCTTCTTGTGGTACAACTTGGAGTTGCTTCTCCTCTGAAACACGGTACGGGGCTTCTAACATCATACTTCCATCCAATTTCATGAAGCTGTGAATTTTATCAGCATCAACATTCTCTGGAATCTGGACTGTCCTTGTTCGCTCGACAGTATCTCCCCATTCATCATTACCATCTGTGTACTTAGCATGAATAATTACTTTACCTGAAACATAAAAAAATACATTGAAAAGTGCTAAACAGTTTAAGCACTCACTTACATTTTTATTTCTGCGACGTTCTTTAATTATATATGCATAAGTGAAATTATAATAAATTCCTTCTACAAACCCCTCACCCCTTAACCATTAAAAGTACCTTTAACTCTTTAAGCAAACAAATGCCCTGGCCTGAATTGCTGTAATATTTAAAGCATAACCACGATGCGAATAGATTTCTTCAAATGGATATACACTGGACGTTAAGCAACCAACAATCAATCAATCAAATGGATATGCACTGTGTCATGTCGACGATATTGCGATAGCCCCGTGCACGAACATTTACATCGGACGATATTGTGATAGCCCGTGCACGAACATTTACATCGCCGACACACTATGGTTTCCTTCTCGTTTATGACTTGTCACAGATTTGTACTTGTAATAAAGAAGACGACATGTAACGATAGTTGAGTAGGAACTACATACCTTTAAGATCTCTCCAAATTTTTGACTGGGTTTATGTTGCTCAAGTCTGGTAATTGGATTTTACAATTTTGACAATATTTATGTATTCCAAATGCAGGAGGATTATTTCAAATCAATTGATTCCTTGCAGATTATTCATTTTCATCTTTTTTAGGGCAAAATCATTTATTTTCAGCTCTTATCAGGCAAGGGTATTCAATTTCAAAATTCTCCTGAAAAATTGACAATATAAACAAGTCACCAAAGTTTCATGAAAACTGCTCAAAGCGTTTTTGAGTTAAGTGTCCAAAAACGGGAAAATCCCCCCTTTTAATGAAAAAAGTCCTAAAAATCCAAAATGTAAAATTATCATCAGAATTTTTTAAAAATCAAAAGGGAACGTATGTCAATATATATAAACAATTCACCAAAGTTTCATGAAAATTGCTCAAAGCATCTTTTTTTTATGAATAAAGCCCAACAACTCCGAAACGTTAAATCAAAAAATCATAAAAATCGAAAGGGAGCTTACGTCAAACGTTATAAAATTCACCCGAAGTTTCATAAAAATTGGTGAACGCGTTTTTGAGTTGCTGTCCGAAGTTTTGACGACGGACGGACAATGGTACACCATAATACGTCCCGTAAACGGACGTATAAAAAGACTAGGACAAAGGCCTGTGTTATATAAAGTAAATAGGTTAAAGGTATAAAGGTTAAAAAAATGAGACAAGTGCCTGTGAACATCGGGCTTCCCGGCACATAGAAATTATACACGGAAAAAGAGTGGGGAAAGGGTGATTGAGACCACAGGTTTAATTCCTTCGTTTTTATAAATCTCGTACAGACATTAACAAAATTGGACTCGCAAAACACACACCTTTTTCCAGTTGAACCGCTTTAACCACTCATATCCCTAACCTAATAAAGCATCATAGCATAATAAATTAATACTGCATGGTTACTTTTAATTCGGCTCATACATATTTAAATTAAATGTCACTTCTAAATAAAAAAAAATCTGATTTAAGTAGACAAAAATAGGTATGGCCATTGGCACCTGTCTCTGTAAAAAAAATATATACCTGCATACTGTTACTGCCCCGTGTCATGGATAACGATGGCCTCGACCACACCGTCCAAGCAATACTCAACACAGACGAAAAATAAAAACTTACCATCCTCTACTTTCACTTTGACATGTTGTGCATCGAAGTCTCCAATCTTCACGCTGTAGGTCCACTTTCTATCCGCTAGTGAATTCTCAGGTCTGTGCCTTCTCTGAATCACGGGTCGGCCATAACCCCAGCTTAGGGGCATAGGGTTCCAGTCATCCATGAAGTGGAACAAGTCATCAGAATCATTCTGCCTTTGATTGTAGCGGTTCCAAAGCACTGGGATAAAAGACATGTTTTTGATTTTTGTCTTGTAGCTGGTAGTTTAGAGGTGATACTATGGTATGTCCGTTTTCTTTTGATACCATTTTGTTTACTCCAGCTTTTATATAGTGTGAAAGCATGATTCTCGCAAGTTGTAGAAATGAAACGACGTAAAATACCGGTTACTAAATATAAACAACGTAAATAACTTATTCAGGTTCAAGGTTAATACTAGTATGATCTAGAATATTATTTTTAGAAGTCATTGATTGTAGAATTTTCTATAATCTAATCGAATTTTCTATCATCTAATTGAATTTTCTATTCTTTCTATTTTATTCCATTTGTATCACGCTTTTTTAGCTATTAGCTGTATGATACACTATACAAATCGTTTATGGGTATATATGTCACAATTTGTTTTTTTTTCTTTTTATTAAATTATGTTGAGTATGCATGAAATAAATAAATATAAATAACAAGTGTTCCTTTTGTGGTTAGTTATCAAAAAGAAAGTAGATATATTCACGAGAACCCTTCATTTTCTTTATTTTTTGCCCATTATTCTTTTTTCCTTATAATAGAGCACCTCATCTCTATTCTGTTTTGCCCTATTTTTCTCTATTCTTTATTATTTTGTCTTATTTTTCTCTATTCTTTTTTTTATTTTTGCTCTTTACTTATTTAAAGAATCGGACAATTTATACACATTAAACTTGAAAAAACACCCCTAAAAATTGGGATTAATCATTTAAAGACAGGGTCTAATTTCACCTGTCCTGGGTAACTGAATTTATATGTTCAACATATCTGAATTAAACATTCAGATATGTAACCAAAACTCAAAATCAGGGGTAGGAAAAATATAATTTTAATGTGTGAAACAGCTGTTTGTATGTATTTCCCTTAGGGTTCTATATGAATAGAAAATGCTCCTGCATATCATGGTAATTTTTTATAATCGGATCTACACAAACAAAAGACTTCATCTCAAAAACCGTTTCGCACCTTAAAATTACATGTTTCTTTTAAGTATATCATCACTCTAAAGGGTCGATTGGATTTGCGCCATATTTTGAAAATACAGTATGTCGTTTTCGCCACTAAGTTACATTTGATTTGCATTAAATTTTTCAGGCAACAAACATGAAGATTAAAGTTTCTTTGAAAACTGCATCACAAAAACGATGCTCGTTTAAGAATTTTGTAGAGTACCCGCAGAGCATTTAAGTGAGTTCATACTTCATTTCTAAAAGATAACTGAAAGTTATAACTGGCATGAAATTGTGAGTGACATATTAGAGGTAACACATGACCATGAAGTACTTAAAAGAGGCGGAGGAGGCAACTGTCTCCTCAAACTTTCTGATAAAACATTAATTATATAATATTTTAAGGTCTGACAACCGCATCTAATCTAAAAGGTGGACTATTCATATTCATCTGTTGCTACGATTGCGGGTTTATTTTCACTTTTTTTTCCAAAATTGTTTTCTGCATTGAGTTTGTGTTGCAGAATAATGATTTTATATCCTGTCTTATATAATGTTCGGTGAAGTACCAAAGTCAAAACTCGTATAACTGAAGAATTGTCCCATGCAAAATACTTTGTACATTGTAGATCACACTGGTTGAATTTAATAACTGTCCCGGTTATTCGAAGTTTCATGTCAATTCTTGCAAAAGTCAGAGGGGGGTTGGGGGGAAGGGTGTCCGGGCCCCTCTTTTGTGGGAAACATTTGGTTGATTATATAGGGAATCACTGAAGCATGACTGAGCCGGTCCCCTCTTATGGCAGTCAGTGCCCCCCCCCCCCCCCCCCCCTTATGTAAATTTCTGGACCCGCCACTGAAAGTTACCTGATAAACTGGTAAATGAAGGGTTCCAGTAAAAGAAAGAACATTATGAAATCAATGTTAAATATGCCAGTTGAAAATCAATACGAATTTGATGTTTTATGACGAGGAGGGGCGTATTTTTATGAAACCAGAGGGACCTCGCTGATAGACACCTTTACATGGCTTCTAAAGAACTATGAACAGGTTCTTGACATATTGCAATAAATCGAGTACAAAATAAGTGGACATTCTGATGCGACCTCATACAAATCAACGCTTCAGATATTCGAAATTTTAATAATTGCTATGGTTATTAAATTTGTACTTGGATACATCTGGGACATAATATGTATTATAATGCCGGGTATTTCCAGGATACATACGGCCTTCGTCAATTGCACTCCAAGCGCATTGCATGTGCTTTGGTGGAAATTCATATTCATGCATGATGGTAGACTTTTGTTGGGTAAAATGGGTGATATACATGTACGTTAAAACTGTACTGAATCTTTCCATCCTTTATTCGAAAGGGCTTTTATCATAGCAGCATAATGATATTACAGTAACGAAACCGCGTATACATCAGGGCGACAAAGGCATAGAGCAAACGCGTCTACAGGAACGGTTACTGTAAAGGGCATTTTAGAATAATTTTGCTTAATCCTGTCATTAATTATGTAATCAGTCACCATTTGATGCCACGTTACCTCGACAAACTGAATGAAGATTTATTGCAAATATTGGTAGAGGATTACAAAATGATGTTTCGTTCTCATACGATTTCCCGTATGAACTCAATCAGTGGCTAAATAACGTGCATAATAATTTCGTCCCGGAATATTGCATACAGGAAATTGTGCCGAGTTATACTTCTGACTTCTTTACGAACATCAGTCGTATTATTCCATTATTTTTATGTTTGCTTGTTGGTTCACTCCTTTTCACTTCTTGGAAGGCTAAAACATGGATAAGTTCATCCATGACCGAGTCCAGACTGGGCGGTCACAGTGACGGATCCAGGGGGTTGGGGGGTTGGAACCCCCTTTTTTTAACGATCAATGCATTTGAATGGGACATATAGTTGGAATCCCCCCCTCCCTTTTAAAAATAGCTGGATCCGCCCCTTGGTCATATATATGTATTAAAGTAGCACAGAGGGTGAAACAGACAACATTTCAGTTCTAAAAAGTGAGGAAACATCTGGCCATTGTAAATGAATCTCGCTTTTTCACTATTTGGAACAACATGACAAGTAAATTAACCCTAAGCATTGTTTTCTATCACATTATCCATTTTTATAAATGAATTATTTCAAATGTATCGTCATCTTTCATGCATCTTGTCCTGAAACTTCTATTCAGGCAAGAAACAAAATAAGTCTTTGGAATTCGCAACATGTAATGCTCAACTTCTGGGGCGCCTAGGTGAGTGACCCCCAGACCCAATTCTGATTATTTGCCTCCTACGAACGAGGGCTAATTTACGGCCATGGATATGTTGGACATAGTAAAATGTTCAAATGTTCGAACGTTTTCATGACACTACGAACAGATTATACAATGTATCAAGTGTATTGAAGAATAGACAAGTCTTGTACATAAATTTATCAGTCCGTTGGTTTTCCCATAATAGTTAACATTTTGTCTTGACGGGCTTCTTAAAGCTTACTCTACAGTATGGTTTTTGCTCATTGTTGAAGACCGTGCGGTCTCCTATAGTGGCTTACATCAAACGTAATTTGGTGTCTGCTGGATAATTGTCTCATTGGAATGATATCATATCTTATTTTCATATTATATTAATAAAAGGCAGAATCACTGAATCACTGACAGCAGAAAAGAACAAGCGTAGTTTTATAATGCTAATAAATGTTTAAACCGTAATAATTTTTGAGAAACTTATCCTGCTCAATATCCTACTCACTTCCCAATGACAAGGGGGCAACAATTTTCTCTAAACAACTGAAAAGTTCTACCAATACAACTTGATACAAACTGAAGCCTGGGTTAGCTATTTTTCCTTTAACAGCAAACAAATTCTACCACATCTTGATTGAAACAAAAGCTATAGGTTAAATAATATACCTTCAACAACTAACTAACAGATTCAAACAAGACAACTTGATTGAAACGAAAGCATGGGACAAACAACTTTCTTTCAACAACTAACAAATTCTACCACTAATTGATTGAACCTAAAGGGTTAGTTAACCAACTTTCCTTTAACAACTTGGTTGAACCTAAAGCCTTAGTTAACAAACTTTCCTTCAACAACTTGGTTGAACCAAAGCCTTAGTTAACAAAATTTCCTTTAACAACTTGGTTGAACCTAAAGCCTTAGTTAACCAACTTTCCTTTAACAACTTGGTTGAACCTAAAGCCCTAGTTAACTAACTTTTCATCAACAACTTGATTGAAACTGGAGCTTCAGTTAACCAACTTTCCTTCAACAACTTGGTTGAACATAAAGCCTTAGTTAACCAACTTTTCTTCAACAACTTGATTGAAACTAGAGCTTTAGTTAACCAACTTTCCTTCAACAACTTGGTTGAACCTAAAGCCTTAGTTAACCAACTTTTCTTCAACAACTTGATTGAAACTGGAGCTTTAGTTAACCAACTTTCCTTCAACAACTTGGTTGAACATAAAGCCTTAGTTAACCAACTTTTCTCCAACAACTTGATTGAAACTGGAGCTTTAGTTAACCAACTTTCCTTCAACAACTTGATTGAACTTGGAGCCTTCAAGTTAAACAATATTCCTTGAAAACTGAACAAACTCTTCTACAACTTGAATGAAACCAAAGTCTTAATCAAACAACATTCCTCTACTCTTCTACTACTTGGTTGAACCTGAAGCCTTAGATTACCACTATCCTTCAACAAGCAACAAACTATACTACAACATGATTAATGTAACAAAAGATTAGACTGGGTGAAACAACCAATTCAACAACTTACAAACTCAAGTACATCTTGATTGAATCCAAAGCCTGCATTAAGCAATATTCCTTCAACAACACACTAACAAACTCGACTACAATAACTTGATCAAACTTGAAGCAATGGATAAACAGCTGTTTTTGTCGAGCCTGCGACTTTTGTCGCAGAAAGCTCGACATAGGGATAGTGATCCGGCGGCGGCGGCGTTAGCTAACTTCTTAAAAGCTTTATATTTTAGGTGGAAGACCTGGATGCTTCATACTTTGTATATGGATGCCTCATGTTACGAAGTTTCCGTCAGTCACATGTCCAATGTCCTTGACCTCATTTTCATGGTTCAGTGACTACTTGAAAAAAAAGTTAACATTTTTTGTAATGTTAATTTCTCTCTTATTATAAGTAGTAGGATAACTATATTTGGTATGTGCGTACCTTGCAAGGTCCTCATGCCCGTCAGACAGTTTTCACTTGACCTCGACCTCATTTCATGGATCAGTGAACAAGGTTAAGTTTTGGTGGTCAAGTCCATATCTCAGATACTATAAGCAATAGGTCAAGTATATTCGGTGTATGGAAGGACTGTAAGGTGTACATGTCCAACTGGCAGGTGTCATCTGACCTTGACCTCATTTTCATGGTTCAGAGGTTATAGTTAAGTTTTTGTGTTTTGATCTGTTTTTCTTATACTGTATGCAATAGGTCTACTATATTTGGTGTATGGAATGATTGTAAGGTGTACATGTCTAGCTTGCAGGTGTCATTTGACCTTGACCTCATTTTTATGGTTCAGTGGTCAAAGTTAAGATTTTGAGTTTTGGCCTTTTTTTCTAACACTATATGCAATAGGTCAACTATATTTGGTGTATGGAAATATTTTATGATCTATATGTCAGTCACGCAGGTTTTATTTGACCTCGACCTCATTTCATGGATCAGTGAACAAGGTTAAGTTTTGGTGGTCAAGTCCATATCTCAGATACTATAAGCAATAGGTCAAGTATATTCGGTGTATGGAAGGACTGTAAGGTGTACATGTCCAACTGGCAGGTGTCATCTGACCTTGACCTCATTTTCATGGTTCAGAGGTTATAGTTAAGTTTTTGTGTTTTGATCTGTTTTTCTTATACTGTATGCAATAGGTCTACTATATTTGGTGTATGGAATGATTGTAAGGTGTACATGTCTAGCTTGCAGGTGTCATTTGACCTTGACCTCATTTTTATGGTTCAGTGGTCAAAGTTAAGATTTTGAGTTTTGGCCTTTTTTTCTAACACTATATGCAATAGGTCAACTATATTTGGTGTATGGAAATATTTTATGATCTATATGTCAGTCACGCAGGTTTTATTTGACCTTGACCTCATTTTCACAGTTCATTGCTCAGTGTTAAGTTTTTGTGTTTTGGTCTGTTTTTCTTAAACTATAAGCAATAGGTCAACTATATTTGTTGTATTGAAGAATTGTTAGCTGTACATGCCTGCCTGGCATGGTTCATCTGACCTTGACCTCATTTTCATGGTTCATTGGTCAATGTTTAGTTTACTTGGTTAATGTTAAGTTTATGTGACAGTTGAAATAAAGCTTTATATTTAGGACTATCAACATAATATCAATGATTAGTAAAGAAGGCGAGACATTTCAGCATGTGCACTCTTGTTTAAATAACTTGCTTGCAATCATCTGTCCAAAAACAACTTAATAAAGTTCAAACTATGTTCCTCAATAAATCAAAACTTATATACATGATTTTTTATTGAGCAATTTTAAATTCAAACCACAAGTTAACATAGTACAACATAATGTGTATTTCTTTCAGCATTTTTTTCAAACTGTAATATAATACACAAAAAGTTACAGATCATAATTTAAAAATTATGACATCAAACTAAGGTGACTAGACTACAGCATATTGTATGTATTACAATGCTTTAATTATAATAATTAGCTGGTTCTAAGTGCAGAGTGTTTTAACAAAGCCTTTAACAAGAGTAAGTCGACCCTTCTGAGACCAAAATATAGTAATAATTGTTGTTTTGAAGGAGGTTTATTATGTGTAAACCTAGCTGTGATACTCAATAACTGAATAGTCTAAAAGAATTTGTTTGTGAGTTAAAGACATAAAATTAATAAACTCCATAGAAACAACCTTTTCATGCAATTCCAATAAAATGCACATATTAGTTTCTGATAAAGGAATTTAAAAAAAAAAATGGCAGAACTATTTGGTTGTTTAGGAATTATATTCATGATGGTTTGAAACTGGTTTATACATGTATTTAATCCAACATGATGTGAAATATTTTTATGCATGTTGAGGACAATATTTAAGATTTAACCCATAGGGAGCATTTTCTATACCTCATTCTTTTTGTATAACAAATGTTAGTAATGTGTTACTTAATCTCTTACAATTCAGATCTGAAGTTTCAGGGATGTCTGCTCTAGACTATTTCAGGCAAAAACAATATTATAAATAACATAAAAGATAAAACATGAACATTTACATACACTATGAATATAATACTGTTTCAAAACATTGACTTTTAAATGCTCTTATTCTAAATAATTGGCTAGCACCTTAATGAACTGTATGACTTGAATAACTACTACTCTGTTCAATATTTGACAAATATCACAGTTTAGAACATGTGCACTGGAGGAAGCTACATTTAGAAGAGATTTCAGAAAGATCTTAAAAAGCATTTACAATTTCTTTAAAAGCACTATTTCATGTGTAGGTATAGGCTGTACACATGTCTTTAAAACACCTTTATATATCCTTAGTGTAATTTTCAATAATATGATTTGTTTAAAGTTACAACTATTTAATATATAGCTAGCAAGATCAGAGATACATCTCATATAACTTTCCAACTAAGATATTCATAATATGTCTGTAAAGGTAATAAAAAATATTTTCTGAAAAAAAATCTTCATTTGAATTTTTTGTTTAATGTCTAATGGAAAAATTTAACATTTTATAATAATATAAAAAATCCAAAATCAATCAACCAAACATGTTTTATGAATTACTTTTTAGAACTTGACACTAATAATGATAACATCATATACCAATTTTGAGTTCTGGGACTTTGATACATTTGACCTTAATTTTACACTGCATGGTTGACCTAATGACTTAATGACAATTGCAAAATCTTAACGTCAAAGATTTCTGTTGTGAGCCTAAACATTGCAGAAATATTGGTTTTTCTTTTCATAAATGGCAGGCTACTTCCAAATTGATGTATAATACATGCAAAATATAAATACAATTAAAAAAAAACAAAAAAAAAACCCCACTGAAATACAGATTTGGCTAGACATACACAGACTGTATGTGTCTATTGATAAAAATATATTGAAATGAAAAAAAGACTAGATCATATATAGAACTCTTGGTGTATTCTACTCAAATCATAGAGCAGCACCACTAATGCTGAACAAAAGAAAAGTTACAAATTTCATCCTTAAGAGGTAATTCATTAGTGTCAGACTAAAATTACTTGTACAACATAAATTAATGTAACATATCAGCTTTATAGATAAAAATGAAAAAAAAATTGTGTATCTATTTTGACTACTATTGCAATAATTAAAACAGTTTGAAAAATGATGAATAAAGCAGTATATATCTAAGAACTTTGTATTTATGTAAGACTTACATAGTATAATTTTGATATCATATCCAAGTTAGAGTAACCTTGAAACAATGTTATTTTGTACTCTACCTGCATAGGTAGAACTTCCCTTATTTAGTTTAAAATATAAATAAAGTTATGTGGCTTAAAATGAATTGTAAACACAAACATTGTTTATGACAATAAATTTGTAATAAATGTGTTTTGGCTTTTCTTTAACTTTGCAAAATCCTTGGTTATCGTTTTGGCTTCAAATAAATTTTGGCTCAAGTTGCAAAAGTGATGAATTTCTTCTTTTTTTTAGAAAGGCTTGTTAAAGAACTAGATATGAGTGGACAAAGGGCAATGTTTCAATACTAACACAATTCTTTTAACAAAATAAATAAATAAATATTATGTACTATAAAAATTCAAGCCTATTCAAAATCTTAACAATATAAATAAACAAATTTTGGTACAGTTTCTCCATAACTTGTGTAACTGATTTGCATACAGTACCACACTTCTGGTGCAGTAAAAATTGGTACTGTTAATTTTATAATTTTCAATATCTTTTTACTAAATGTGTAAATGGCTTGGGCCATCCAAACTTTTCAAAACATTCCAAAACTTTGCATGTATCATAATGGAGCATAATATATCCACCAATAATGCATATCAATATTTTGTTCTTCACTAGGAACTAGCACTGGTAATAAGATTGATTGATTGTTGTTTGCTTTACGCCGCATTAGCACAGAAAGGCTATATCGCGGCGAGAGCTAATTCGAATATTATAACAATTTAAGGTATATTTTTAAAATCAGACAAAAGGTCTTTCAATAAACTAAAATTGGTAATAAGAACATTATGGACAAAATAATGTGGCAATGAAAATATTGTGAAAACATATCAATTTTGTTCCTAGCACAAAGAGAAAGTAGAATGACAGATGATTTTTCAAATAAATATAAAATTCAGCATATAAACAGTAAAAGAAAAAAGAATGTAAGAATTAATATACTTTTCCACAAACACAAAGGTATAGTGAATTTTAGAGGTTATATAGTTCCAAGTTAACACTGTGGAGAATATTAATACTTCTACAATAAATTGTAAGGCAGTTTGGGGGTAACATCAATACATTCACTTTTCCTTATATCTTATGAAAAAAACAAAATTGTCTTTTAAATGTAATATTTTAAAATGTAAGCATCAAGAAGTGCAAGAAATTAAGCTATTCCCCCTTACATGATCACAATAATTGGATTTACTTCTGATCACAATGGAGTTATTCCCCCTTACATGATCACAATAATTGGATTTACTTCTGATCACAATGGAGTTATTTCCCCTTACATGATCACAATAATTGGATTTACTTCTGATCACAATGGAGTTATTTCCCCTTACATGATCACAATAATTGGATTTACTTCTGATCACAATGGAGTTATTTCCCCTTACATGATCACACGAAATGGATTTACTTCTCCTTACATGACCACAATGGAGATATTTCCCCTTACATGATCACAAGAAATGGATTTACTTCCCCTTACATGACCACAATGGAGTTATTTCCTTTTACATGATCACAAGAAATGTATTTACTTGCCTTTAAATGTTAATTAATAAAAGATTTTCTCATATATAATGTAATTAATATTCATAACCTAAATATAAATAAATTATATAGATTGTATAAAGCTTTGGCACTATTTTACCCCAACATAAGCACTGTTAATAAATATATAAAGAAAAAAGATTCTTTGGTATTATAACACATTCTTAAACAGTTTTTTATTTAAAAATAAAAATTGAATATGCATTTTCAATTTGAAAAAAATTGTAACTAATCAGATTTATTTTACAGTTAATTCTTGTAAAACAAAAACTGTCAAAACTTAAACATGATTAAATTACTTTTATGTGAAATGAACTAAGCAGCTTTACAAATATTTGGTTGAGTGAAAACTTTTTGATTTTGATACTAATGCATTTTCATAACATAATCAATCATCATAAACAATTGTCCTAGCTCTTTGCATGGTCATAGGTGTAACTTTCCATCCTCCCCCTCCTTTAACAAAAGGTTTGATGTTATATCTACTCAACAAGGTGCTTTCTGCATGGCCTACATCCATCCCTGGACTAAAACATTTTGGTGACTTTGTCCGTAAATGCTCTTCCTCAATATCAGACACCGATGAATCATCCGAGTCATCTTTAGAGCTGCTCTGAGAATGACGAAACCGTGGACTTTCTGTTAACCAATCAAAATTTGCATTTCTCTTAAGCCTAGCCTGTTGGAGAAGATGTTTAATTCGTCTCTGTTCAAACAGCTGTGAGTTTGTTTGTCCCTGTGCCCCCAGAGAGGTCATATTATCAGGTGAAGGAGAACCTTTGTTACCTATCAGTCTCTGATGCTTGTCCTCAGGAGGTATGTCCTTGACAAAGGTGAACTTTGGTTGTTTCTGTTGTTTAGACTTCTCTTTCTTTCTTTTGACTGATCTTAACAACTCCATCTTCTCTAGCCAAGTTAATCCATCCATGTTAGGATGATCAGAATTAAGGATCTACAAAAAACACAAACCAAAATTTCAATTATTAACTATTCTAAAACTTTTAAAGATAGATCAAAAAGCTGGATAATTCTTATTGTTTTTTAAAAAGAAACTGAATTACTGCTGAATATTCCTTTTCTGTTTCATTCAACTTGCTTGTCATTATTGGCTAAAACTTAACAATGGAGAAAAGTTATCAAAGTACCAACAATATGTATATGCTCTGAGGACTGAAGTTCAATATCTTAAAACAATTATTTGTGTAAATTTATGTATAGAAATAACATTATGATTTAAAAACGTTTGAACTTTTCTGAAAAAAAAATGTTTACAAATTGCTGCAAGTTTTGTATTTGTACACAATAGTAAAGAAATGAAAAAAACAAATTGTTAGTTGTATTATCTATGCACTGTAGAACATGCAAGAATCTAAATACAAAATGTATACAATTAATTGCTTCGCCGAGCGCAGCTGGATACGACCGCAGAGGTCCAACCCTGAAAAGTTGGGGCAAAAATGGACACAATATTCGCGCTTGATACAGGTCTAAATTTGGATTGTAATTCAATATTTGACACATAATAGGTTTCTGACACAGAAAAACTGTCATCAAACTAAGAATTGGTTATATGATTTGAATTTAAATTCAATTTTTTGCTTTTGTGCAATACGCTATCCTGTTGCGAATTAACATCCCTCCCCCCCCCCCCCTTTTCAAAAACAAAAAAAAATTGATGGATTTTCTTTTTGATTTCTGAAATCTTGAGGAGAAAAAAATTGTACCAATTTTTTTTTTAACCTCCCCTCCCTCTTTTTCCAAAAAAAAATTCTTTCCCTCTGACAGTCATGGTCATAATCTCAATTCAAATTTCCAATGGAGTTTTCAACCATAATTACCCATTTAAATACATCATAAAAGTCTTACAATAGAAAATGACATACATAATCATAGCTAAAATTAATTTACATTAATCAGCATTTTTAAAATTATTAAAATAGTAACTTCTAATAAAATGCTCCGCTGGGCACAGCTTGATACGACCACAGAGGTCGAACCCTGAATAGTTGGGGCAAATATGGACACAACATTCAAACTTGATACAGCACTGAATTTGGATTGTGATTAAATATTTGACACATCATAGGTTTCTGACACAGAATCAATGTGGTCTAAGAACTTAAAAAAATTTAATTTACCTATTCATACCATATCATTAATATTTGCTTTTATATATAAATCAGAAAAATCAAAAAAAATCCCACCACCAAATTTTTGAACCCCCTAATGATTCATCACCCCCAAACTCAATCTCAACCTTCCCTTTGTGGTATGGTACCTTGCAGTACAATTTCAGAGAGATCATCGGATACACTTGAACACAAGTTATTGTCTGGAAACAAGAAAAATGCTTGGTTTTTTTACCCCTTTTTGGGCCCAAATTCCTAAACGTTTAAGGCAATTACCCCCAAACTCAAACCCAGCTTTCCCTTTGTTTTATGGAACCTTGTAGTACAATTTCAGAAAGATCCATACACTTACACACCAGTTATTGTCATGAAACTAGAAAAATAATTGTTTTTTGCCCCTAATTCCTAAAATTTTGAGGCAATTACTCCAAAAATCAATCCTAGCCTTCCCTTTGTGGTATGGTACCTTGCAGTACAATTTCAGAGAGATCCATACACTTGAACACAAGTTTTGTCTGGAAACTAGAAAAAATGCTTATTTTTGGCCCCTTATTCCTAAACGTTTTGGGCAATTACCCCCAAACTCAATTCCAGCTTTCCCTTTCTGATATGGAACCTTGTAGTACAATTTCAGAAAGATCCATACACTTACACACCAGTTATTGTCATGAAACTAGAAAAATGCTTGTTTTTTGCCCCTTTTTTGGCCCCTAATTCCTAAAATTTTGAGGCAATTACTCCAAAAATCAATCCTAGCCTTCCCTTTGTGGTATGGTACCTTGCAGTACAATTTCAGAGAGATCCATACACTTGAACACAAGTTTTGTCTGGAAACTAGAAAAAATGCTTATTTTTGGCCCCTTATTCCTAAACGTTTTGGGCAATTACCCCCAAAATCAATCCCAGCATTCTCTTTGTGATATGGAACCTTGTGGTACAATGTCAGAGAGATCCATACACTAACACACAAGTTATGTCTGGAAGTTACAAAAATGCTTATTTATGGCCCCTTTTTGGCCCCTAATTCCTTAACTGTTGGTACCATAACCCCCAAAATCAATCCCAACCTTCCTTTTGTGGTATTGAACCTTATGGTAAAATTTCATAGAGATGCATTCACTTAAACTAAAGTTAGAGTGCCAAAACCAATGTCTCTTCGGACAACGACGCCAACGTCATACCAATATACAATCGCAAAACTTTTGCGGTCGTATAAAAATGAATTGACAGCTAATCACCTCGAGACAATACAAATATTATATACATAATTTAAAAGCAGTGTAAGGGAGGTAATTCAAAGTAGTTTTTGAATTACCTCCCTTACACTGTAATTTGTACTTAAGTAATTGTCCATTAACCAGGACACCCTTGTTTTTTCTCACTTTTTTGCCCCTAATTCCGAAACAATTTGAGCCATAACCCCCCAAATCTAATCCTAACCATCCCTTTGTGGTATGGAAACTTGTGGTATAATTTCAGAGAGATCCATACACTGTTACACAAGTTATTGTCATGAAACTAGAAAAATGCTTATTTGGACCCCTATTTGGACCCCTTTTTGGCCCCTAATTCCTAAACTGTTGGGACCATAACCCAAAAAATCAATCCCAATTTGTGGTTATAAACCTTATGTTTAAATTTCATACAGATCCATTCACTTAAACTAAAGTTATTGTGCGAAAACCAATGTGTCTTCGGACAACAAGGACGACGCCAAAGTCATACCAATATACGACCGCAAAAATATAAAAATTTTAATTATAACTGTCCGATTCAGAGTATCATACAAATCTAGCTCGCTGATGGGCAAAGGTCATAAGGTTTTAAAAAAAGATAGCATATTTTTTATTGCTTGTATATTTATAATTCAAACATTTAACTCAGTGAATGTTTAATTCTCCTCTGAAAACAAACTTTATAAATCAAAATGGTTTAATTTCATGATGCTTTATAAGTGACTGGTTATTATGGGAAATTTTTTTTTTAATTTGGTGTAGAACAATTTTATGCTCAATCAGTTACCATTCTGTTAAAAGAACACTCATTGAAAGTTAAAATAGGGATTAATTAGTCCAATGTATGATTTAATATAGATATTCATATTCTTTTCTATACTTTTCTTTGATACTTTACTTTTTGCTTGAAAGATAGATAAAAGAAGTAAACAGCAAATGATAGATTGTTAATTTGACAAACTTATACTATCTAACAGTTGCATATGAAATATTCTTATGTCTAAAGTTCAAAGTGATATGTCAGACCTACAACCATTCATTAATCCTGCAGGGAGAAAAACATATAACCAAGAAAGCCTAGGATTTTGAAATACCTCATTTCTGGTTTCAGTCATGTTATAACTCCCATTATAATACCAAAACAAAACATACTGCATTCTAATAGAACATAGAAATTTTGAAATCCAATAAGACCTCTCAGAATTTACAATTTACACCTCCTTTACAAAAGAACACATCTAACAAGATGGATATAATTCTCAAATATTTGTAAACCTAAAATTTCCGGTTATAGCAGAGTCAGATTTGGGCGGGCCCTTATGGAGCTACATGTATATATATATATATAAATTGCCTAACAATGTAATTTTAACACACTAATTAGTATGTAAATATTAAAATGTTAAAAATATTTACAATGCGATAAAATAAACACAATATTTTGCTAGACAAACTAGCTTCATCGCCTGTGCATCTATCCAGGTGAAATCAGATGCAGATAAGAAACTGTTGCAGCCTATTGTACATTGAATTTTGCTGCTTAATAAATAAATAAAAAATTTGGATGAAGTTCAAGATTTATATTTATCTAATTAAGAAATCTGTTGAAGGAAGGTAAGTTTACAACATCCATTGGCCAATATTACAGAGATATTAAGGACGATGCCACATAATATATATTTTTATATATATAAACGCCTAAAAAGTGTACAAAACAACACCAATATTAAAACTAGAGGCTCTAAAGAGCCTGTGTCGCTCACCTTGGTCTATGTGCATATTAAACAAAGGACACAGATGGATTCATGACAAAATTGTGTTTTGGTGATGGTGATGTGTTTTGGTGATGGTGATGTGTTTGTAGATCTTACTTTACTGAACATTCTTGCTCCTTACTATTATCTCTATCTATAATGAACTTGGCCCAGTAGATACAGTGGAAAATACTTTGTAAAAATTTACAAAAATTTACAAAATTTATGAAAATTGTAAAAAATTGACTATAAAGGGCAATAACTCCTTAAGGGGTCAATTGACAATTTTGGTCATGTTGCCTTATTTGTAGATCTAACTTTGCTGTACATTATTGCTGTTTACAGTTTATCTCTATCTATAATAATATTCAAGATAATAACCAAAAGCTGCAAAATTTTCTTAAAATTACCAATTCAGGGGCAGCAACCCAACAATGTGTTGCCTGATTGGTCTGAAAATTTCAGGGCAGATAGATCTTGACCTAATGAACAATTTTACCCCCATGTCAGATTTGCTCTAAATGCTTTGGTTTCAGAGATATGAGCCAAAAACTGCATTTTACCCTATGTACTATTTTTTAGCCATGTCGGCCATCTTGGTTCGCGGGCGGGGTCATCGGACACATTTTTAAAAATAAATACCCTAATGATGATTGTGGACAAGTTTGGTTAAATTTGTCTTAGTAGTTTCAGAGGAGAAGATTTTTGTAAAAAATTACAAAAATTTACGAAAAATGGTTAAAAATTGACTATAAAGGGCAATAACTCCTTAAGGGGTCAACTGACCATTTTGGTCAAGTTGACTTATTTGTAGATCTTACTTTGCTGAACATTATTGCTGTTTACAGTTTATCTCTATCTATAATAATATTCAAGATTATAACCAAAAACGGCAAAATTTCCTTAAAATTACCAATTCAGGGGCAGCAACCCAACAACGGGTTGCCTGATTGGTAAGAAAATTTCAGGGCAGATAGATCTTGACCTAATGAACAATTTTATACTCATCAGATTTGCTCTAAATGCTTTGGTTTCAGAGATATGAGCCAAAAACTGCATTTTACCCTATGTACTATTTTTTAGCCATGTCGGCCATCTTGGTTCACGGGCGGGGTCATCGGACACATTTTTTAAACAAAATACCCTAATGATGATTGTGGACAAGTTTGGTTAAATTTGTCTTAGTAGTTTCAGAGGAGAAGATTTTTGTAAAAGATTACAAAAATTTACGAAAAATGGTTAAAAATTGACTATAAAGGGCAATAACTCCTTAAGGGGTCAACTGACCATTTTGGTCACGTTGACTTGTTTGTAGATCTTACTTTGCTGAACATTATTGCTGTTTACAGTTTATCTCTATCTATAATAATATTCAAGATGATAACCAAAAACGGCAAAATTTCCTTAAAATTACCAATTCAGGGGCAGCAACCCAACAGGTTGTCCGATTCATCTGAAAATTTCAGGGCAGATAGATCTTGACCTAATAAACAATTTTACCTCATGTCAGATTTGCTCTAAATGCTTTGGTTTCAGAGATATAAGCCAAAATCTACATTTTACCCCTATGTTCTATTTTTAGCCATGGCGGCCATCTTGGTTGGTTGGCCGGGTCAACGGACACATTTTTTAAACTAGATACCCCAATGATGATTGTGGCCAAGTTTGGTCAAATTTGGCCCAGTAGTTTCAGAGGAGAAGATTTTTGTAAAAGTTTACGGACGACGGACGACGGACGCAAAGTGATGAGAAAAGCTCACTTGACCTTTCAGGTCAGGTGAGCTAAAAAAGGAAACATTAAATGTAATTATCTATAAATATTTCGGATAACAGATATCCTTCATCAGTATGATTATGATGTAAAATTAAATGTAAATTATCTATAAATATTTCGGATAACAGATATCCTTCATCAGTATGATTATGATGTAAAAATCTATAAATATTTGGAATAACAGATATCCTTCATCAGTATGATTATGATGTAAAATTTTACATCATAATCATACTGATGAAGGATATCTGTTATCCGAAATATTTATAGATAATTACATTTAATATTTCCTTTTTTTTAATATTGGTGTTGTTTTGTACACTTTTTAGGTGTTTATATATAATTTGTTTATTGTGTACATGTATCGTTACTCATAACGATCCAGCGCCTTTATAAGAAAGATCGTTGACTAATATCTAGACGTTTTATCTATATATGTATATATGCATACTCTTTTTACAAGTCCCACTCCTAATTTTGTCTTGTTAGGGTCCCCCTATTCAAAATCCTGGCTGTGCACCTGTAACATAAAACACTTATCTTATTTCAACACAGGTAACTATAGTAATATTCACAGGAATAATTACAGGATATGTGGAGATATATGTCAATATGACAGAAAAAAACCCACACACAAATAAACTGTTGAACAGAGATGTCTCGTCTTGGTGTAATTTATGAGATGTGCCAATTGTAATACTACTGCTACCAAATATAATTGACCTAAATTAAGTGTTTCCTAATAACAAATCATAACTATAATTGATTTTTTCTACACCACTGGAAACACCATGCCTAGGTCCCACTATCGCAGGGGAGACAATAACCATATCAGTAAATCTAGAAGAGACTTTTAATAAATAGTTGGAAAATCAAGCATGGCATCATAAACTGTTGGTTTTTTGTTACAGCTAAATGACTACTTAAAAAATTTGTAAGGGTTCCGTGGAACCCAGTGTCTCGCCTACTTTTGCTGTTAATCGCAGGCTCAACAAATTGAGGAAAAAAATGAATAAAATATTCCTCTCTATACTATCTTTTGATTGTAAGTAGCTTCTGTCCAAGTTTGGTAAAAATCCAGGATAGTTTATGAATCTAATAAATGTTTTAAAAACTTAAAACTGCAGACTGTATGTAATGTTAACTGGAAGAAAAACTAAGTCCATTTATAAGTAAAATAAGGAAAAAATGGAACAAAATTTTAACAAAATTTCCTTCTAGATACTAGCTTTTAATCATAAACAAGCTTCTGTCCAAGTTTGGTACAAATCCAAGATAGTTTAAGAAATTGTTCAAATTTTAAAAACTTTAACCACAGAGTGAATGTAATGTTAACTGGCAGAAAAACTAAGTCCATTTATAAGTAAAATACGGAAAAGATGTTTTTTTTTTACAAAATGTTCTTTTGGATACTATCTTATGATCATAAACAAGCTCCTGTCCAAGTTTGGTAGAAATCCAGGACGACGATGGAATATAGGATCGCTATGTATCGCTTTTTCGACAAAAGTCAAAGGCTCGACAAAAATGATTAAATCAATCTATTAAAACACAACATCATCTCCTACTAATTCATGCAATAATCATCTGACACCATAGATAAGCATACAATGAGAAGTGAATTAGTAATAGAAACTATATCTACCATTAAAGTTAGATAATTGTTAGTTTTAAATCATAGAAATTAACATACCAGTATAATTTACTCTGAAATGAAAAATACACTCATTAAAATTTTAATACTAGCATAAATAAAGCAAAATGTTTAACTAGCTTATCAATCAATAAAATATCTGCTGATGTTTTAATCTCTGAATGATGAGTGGAAATGTTTGTTAAAATTTAGTATAAAAATTTGTACCAAATTATCCCAAGAATTTTTTATAATTCTATACTTGTATCTGAAAATATTATACACAAGTACGATAGTTTATAAGTACAAAAATAATATAATCAATTAAATAAAAGTTTCAACAGAAATACAACGCAATGTAAATAAAACAATCAAATAAACTGAAGCAAAGTTTGTGAATTGCAAATGGATATAGAAAATTGTGATTTGATGTATAAATATAGTTTTCAACAGAGACCTATGCATTGCGAAATATAATTAACATTACATTACAGGTTCTCAGTATTCAAATTAAACCTATAAAAAGTCTAACTATCTGACTTAAATAAGATCTATTAACTAAGATTATAAACTAAGTTACTGAATTAATAGTAAATTAAGGAATTTGACTTCATTGGAGGGACAGTTAATTAAGTTACAATTATCTCCCCCTTTTTTGGTTGAGTTATCTCCCATTTTACTCATTGCTTAAAGATGTACCTTGGAGGAGAAGACAGCTGGTCATTTTTTAAGAGGGTCATATCTAGCAGCTAAACTGACATATGCCCTGCCCGCTGTATCAAACCACATCTGCAAAAATATAACACTACATCTATAGAATGGTTATACATGTAAATCAATATAAATAAAAATAAAAGCTAATGGCATGTACTGGCTGTAGTATGCTTAAAATAAATATAAATAGTTTGTAACAGTTGAGAAGTAAAAAATGCATTAAAATACTCATAATTTTCATCCAGTTTAAACCTGAACAAATATTTTAACTAAAATTAAATGTTAACACTTGGAATTTTTTAAATCGAAAAACATTCAATAGATTATAAGAAACAAACAATGAGAATAACTGAACTACATAGGATTTTTGTTCGAAAAAGGCATAATATACTACAGGCAAAAATTAATCTTAAACTAAGAATAATCCTTTTAATGGATGTGTATTTTCATATCTCTGATATTTCTGGACTATATCTCAAACATTAAATTTTAACAAGTTATGCAGTTCATTAATATATATATTTCAACCATTTTCTTTGGAATTAGTTGTATATCTTATAATTTATAGTCAGTAATCTAAAACTGAAATGCACTTTAAGATAACCATACCAAATCATCAATTGATCTCAGTATTCATTATATATGTAAACTTAAATGGGTGTCTCGGTGGACATTTGTCTCATTCACAATCATAGGGTAAATCACCATATCTCCTTACTTCTATATTAGTAAATTTAAAATCCCCTTTCCAGTTTATAGTGTTTAATTAATTACATATCTGCAACCTAAGACTGTATACCTGATTATGCCATACAAGAATATTGTCTAGAAAAAGAATGTAATGTTTTATAATATCTTGTGACAAAACAAATATTTCTTTTCATTTTGGCAGTGATTTTATAATAAATAAATCCTAAAGTCATTTTAATTCTGTTTATCTGCTTTATAAACTATTCAATTAGGTGTGTTTAAAAAGATTACTGTAATTCCTCACAGAGCTAAACACACAATTCCTAAAAATCAATCAAGACTAATGTTTTAAACTGAAAAGTGCAAAATTCCTAATAAACAATCTGTCATTATCAGTGAAGAATGCACATGTCATCCTTTATTTTAACCATTCATGTCAAGGTATTATAACACTGAAAAATTAAATCTGAAAATTGTTAATTGAAACAGATATATATAAACTTCTATGGTAATTTGGTCTTTGGTGGCGAGTTGGCAATTATACCACATCTTTTTATTTTTAAATATAATTTATTGATTGTAAGATTGCTATAAAATTAAAGGAATTAGTAGACACAAGATAAAAGGACTTTGTACAAGACACACAAAACATATAAAAAAGTACATTCACTCTGGAACAATAAGTTAAAAAGGAGGGACTGGCTCAGTGACCTAAACATTGCGTAAAAATGTTTTTTAGGATTTTTTAATTTATCTTGAGTTAAATTATCATGAGGATAACAGTTTGGAGTTATGAAGACACATATATTAAAATAAGGAGATGTTAACTTATGTACTCCACCACATGCTTGTTTAAGTTAAAAGGATACAGGCCTTTTTACAGTCTAGTATAATTGTGGAATTTTTAATGAACTAGTTGTACTACTATTTGGTTGGTAACAGGTCTAAATTTGTGATAGGCCAGTGATTCTTAAATGTTAAAATTATTCTAATAACATAAAAGTGATAGAAAAGAAACTACACAATAAGCAGGTTGGGCAGTGGATATCACACAGAGAATCTAGGTGAAAAACAAACTCATAACAATACAATTATATATTATTAGCACTTATACATATATGCAATAAAATGTAACATATTTTAATATATAATGACCTCACATTTATCAATTTGTTTTTATTTGCATATGAATTAGATAAGTATATTAGACAAAACAGTTCACTCATTTTGTTTAAATCTACATACTGGTATCTTGAAATGTGAAAATGTTGCACAAAGTTGGTTTTTGTTCATTGATGTTTTTTTTTTTGTGTCCATATCAACACTTGCTGGATTGGAAGTAGTGCCGCGCTGTAGTTTTTTCTCTGTTCCTGCCTTAATCATTTTAACAAACACAAAATTTTAAAGAACCCAGAAATAAACGGTTTAAACTTTTCATACACAGCTTAAACAACTAAAGAGCAGCATCAAGTGCTGGATGACTCAGGCTGAAATGGATGTTTAATAACTGTTTGTCTTTCCTGACAACATTTTTCACCATTTACATGAAGTATATAAATAACATTTAAGCTCAAACTAAATAAAGAAAAGTTAAGTGAACAGACAGTTAGATTTTTGAGGTGCTTTTATTAAATACAAAGTACATGTTACAGGCATTTGTGTAAAAATCATTTTTCTGGTGAACATCACGCTATGGAAAAGTAAGTGTGTGAAACATCAAACTCTACCCCATCAGCAACTGCGACTTCCTGTTTTATTTTGCCATCCATGGAAGAGTCAAGATGCTCATTTAAAATATATTGAGCAACTTTCTGAAGTCTTCGTTCATCTTCATCCTGGTACCGAGATCCACTAGCAGACTGCATATCACTTGAAGTAAAACTGGATCTATTTCCATCAGTGCTCCAAAGTGTATAAACTTGAGAAACTTTCATGTTGTCTGGGAAGTTGGTATATTCTGAAGGATATGGTTTTACAGAACATCTTCTCCCATTGGTAGGTGGTGGGGATGGTTTTGGTAAGGAAAATAATGTTGTTTCACTTTTTGTCTTTCTTAAATTTTTACTGCGTACATATCCAGCATACTTATGCCTTAAATTCTTCATTACATTTCCTTTGGGAATTAATGGTGCTCTTGTTTCCATACTAGAAGAAGTTCTACCATTTTTGCCAAGTTTTGCCTGTTTAGACATATTGATATCTGACACTAACATACCAGATCTGGATTCTGGTCGTATGATTGGAAAATCAATCCTGGCTTCTGACTGAGATCTGTGAAGGTTGGTAGAGACTTTCTCAGAATCTTTTAAATCTGGTGGCTTATGGGTTATTGTAGGAGTAGGGTTATGTAAGGTGAATTCTTTTTTAATTTTCTCTTTTTGACTTGGCGTTATTGAAGCAGATGGGCGCCAAACTACAGTTCCAGAGTTCAGAACTCTCATTGCATTTTGCATCATTATATCATTATTAGGGAAAAGTTGAATTGCACACGAAGGCTCAAGTCCATCATTTTCTCTTGTTTTCATGTCAGCTCCTAAGCAAATGGTGGATAACTTTGAGAGGCTGATTTCATCACTGGACTCCTCAGAAATCACAGCTGTGTCCTCTGGGAGGATCATGACGCTTCCTTCGAATTCTGGAGAAGGCAGATGTTCTTGTGAGCCGTCCAAGCTTCCGTTTTTGCTCTCTGGCTTCTCTGGCAGCTGTATAAAGCATGAAATAAAACAGCAATCAGAAATATCTATAAACCATGACATCTTTAACTTTGGAGATGCAAGTTTATGATTCTATCGACTGTTAAATGTTCATTAAAGAATAATAAAATAAAAATAAAAAGTATGTACAGCAACCTTATGACAAATTGATCCCAATTAATTCTAAACAATTAACAACTATCCAGTAGAAACGGTCTAAGACCCCACACACAATAAATGTGTACATGTATCTATAATGTAATCATCTGCATGTATCCGGAATGTAATTTGCATGTATCTACAATGTAATTTGCATATTTGCATATCACCTACAATGTAATTTGCATATTTGCATATCACCTACAATGTAAATTGCATATTTGCATGTCACCTAGTGTAATTTGCATGAATTTACATTGTAATTTGCTTGTATTTACAATGCAATTTGCATGCATTCACAACATAATTTACATGTATTTACAATGTTATCTGCATGACGAATAATTGTCTTTTTTCTCTTTTGGTCATGGTATTGTCTGTTTTTGTTTTGTTTGCCCCCTTGGTATCTAATCTTCTGTTGTTGTTTTTTCAGTTTAATTATATTCACAAAAGATAATATAAAAGCACAACTTTCATTTCAAAATCTTCAGCATAAGTTCTGGTAATAAAACCATCATCTGCTTAAATTATAAATAGGCAAAGCTAAATAATGTGCTGTCCCTTCAACAGTACATGCATCTATATAAATAGTTACTTTTTTTCTCTTTTAATAAATCTCTGGGAAAGGTCTATTCTATTCAAAGCTTCAAGCACTATAATTCATTTTAAATTAGAAATACATATGTCGAAAAATTAAATAATCATCAATAATTAATCTAAATTTTGAACTAATAATAATGAAATTGAATGATGTAATAGGGATCAAATATATATAATCTGCAAAAAACTTAATTTTTGAAATTGTAGCATTCAAAATTTTGGCATCACATTTAAAGATACAGTTTAGTGTGACCTCCATTTTCACTGAACTAGTACACATTTTTGTTTAGGAGCCAGCTGAAGCCCACCTCCGGGTGCTGGATTTTCTCGCTGTATTGAAGACCCATTGGTGGCCTTGGGCTGCTCTTTGGTGGGGTTGTTGTCTCTTTGACACATTCCCCATTTCCATTCTCAATTTTAGTGTATAGAAAATTGTATTGAGTATTGAACATTACATGTACAAATGTATGTATGGTACCCAGAAACTACTGTTACATGTTATAGTATTATGATATCTAGGTAAATGTGAAAATTTGTGGACAAATCTACATAAAACATTCACTCTATGTGATTGCTAATTGTTATTTTACTTGTTAATTTGATAAATAAATAAATAATAAACTGTTATCACAGAGATATGTCTCGCCTTTTTGTAATTTTGATAATGCAAATGTTGAAATTAAAATAGCAATACTTTAACATTTAAGTTATGCAAATATTCAAAGTTGATGAACCATGACTGAATGTACATGGCTAAACAATCTCCATGGAATGAGATGTGCCAATGCTAATACAACTGCATACCAAATACCATTCATTGACTTATTATAAGTCGTTCCCTTTAAACAAACCTAAACACGTACATTAACTTGTAAACTATGTAAAAGTTTCAAAGTCAATGAACCATGATCAGGGGTGGGGCTATATAATCTCCATGGAAACGATACTTGCAAATGCCAATAAATTTGCATACCAAATATCATTGACTAAACATTAGCAGTTCATCTTAAACTGATCTAATCACAAACTAATACATGTAAATTAAGCAAAAGTTTCAAAGTAAATAGACCATGACTGAAGGGGCTGGGCCAAATATTCTCCATGGAAATGAGATGTGCTAATGCTTATACAACTGAACACCAATTAACATTGGCCTACCACTAATGGTTCCCCTTGAACTGACCTAATCACAAACTAATACATGTTAACTTAGCAAAATTTTTAAAGTCTATAGACCATGACTAAGGCAGCGGAGCCAAATAATCTCCATGGAAATGAGATATGCCAATGCTTATACAACTGCATACCAAATATCATTGACCTACCACTAGTGGTTCCCCATAAATTGACCTAATCACTAACTAATACATGTAAACTATGAAAAGTTTCAAAGTCAATATACCTTGACTGAGGGGGTGGGGCCAAATAATCTCCATGGTAATGAGATGTGCCAATGCTAATACAACTGCATACCAAATATCATTGACCTACCACTAGTGGTTCACCATGAACTAGACCTAATCACAAACTAATACATTGTTGATGCCGCTGTCACCGCCGGAAACAGCATACGTATGTCTCTCTTTTTGACTCTGTCAAGGCGAGACAAAAATGCTGGATTTAAAACATATGCCAACAGGTATTAATTAAATAACATATGAAAATTGCATAAGATTTTTAAAAGATTTTGATTATTGATAATGGGTATCTGGGGACTTTTAAAGCCCTTTATACAGTATGTTTTTTTTTTCATTTTTGAAGGCTGTATGGTGACAATAATGGTCTTCCTTTGGACTATATCTGATAGATAGATGTCTCTCTGGTAGTCATATCACATCTCCTTTGTCTTATACATTGTATAAGTGAATAATGCAAGATTTTCAATCTCTAAAGAGTCTTGAATGGAAATCTTATCCAAGGTATCTGCCATTTCAAAATCAGATGAGTGTTTTGAACTATTTACAGTGTTTGATTTCTTTTTCATAGCTATTAAATGATCTAATGGGGGGAAAAAATGTTCAAAATTGTCTGAAAATATTAACGTTTTAATCAGATTATTAGGTGAGACAGGAATATCTCAGTCCAGAGAAACAAAGTGAATGTTATTTACAACATCAGGGAGAAATCTTTTTCACAATTTGTTAATTCAGAAAACATACTGAATATTGAACTTGTTATCGTGTAAAGTGTTCATTTTCTTCATTAAAACAACATTACTATGTGTGAAGGGGATAACACAGTACCTGCAATACTGTTGGCAAAGGTCTGTCCTGAAAGTACTCACATTTTTACAACAAATCTTTATAACTTATTTATATGTGGAAATTATTAATATGTCTATCAAATCATCTATCAATATCGAAGTCCTTAACTAAACAAGATCTGAAATCCTAGAAACCTCTTTCATGTCTTTTACATGCCAATAAGACAAAATATCATAAGAGACTGACATAACAGAGGTATCCTACATCATAACAGTTTAACCTGTGGATCTATAAATCAAACTTGCCTGCATGTAGGAAAAACTTATGTACCGGTAATAAAAATGTAATGTATGAAGGTCTTACTCTCCGAACATCAATAAAATGGTGACTTTTACAGTACTAGTCAGGCTAGTAGTTAATTATCTAAATCTGTTTTCTGTTATGTTTATAATGTTGCTGAAATTTTATTATGGTATGTTTGTCTACTAGTTCAAAGTGGTATGAACAATAAGTTTTATATTATATTAATAAGCTACATAAAAATCATATGGTGAAAAAGGCCACTTTTAATTTGATACAAAGTCTGACATAAACTGCATGTGTTTATAAATAATATTACATGTGCTTTTAATCCAATATGAACTAGATATCATTAAGATGGGAGCCATCTCTGTGGGCCCCGCTGTGAATAATGTGTGTTAAAAAATTTGTACATGTATCTTTAATAGGACATAGGGTTGTCAACTGAAACCAAAGTTTTTTACCTTGAACTTTGACCTAGGAAGTAGTACATAAATTATGACACACCCTCTGGTGTTGGTTTATATACATGTCAAGTATAAACTTTGAAATCATAACGGTTCTCAAGATATAGAGCAGACACGATCTTTACCATAGGACATGGGGTTGTCAACTGAAACCAAAGTTTTCAACACTGACATAGGAAGTTGTACATACATTATGACACACCCTCTGGTGTTGGTTAATATACACGCCAAGTATAAACTTTGAAATCATAACGTTTCTCAAGATATAGAGCGGACACGATCTTTACCATAGGACATGGGGTTCTCAACTGAAACCAAAGTTTTTAACCTTGACCTTTGACCTAGGAATTTGTAAATACATTATGACACAACCTCTGGTGTTGGTTAATATACATGTCAAGTATAAACTTTGAAATCATAACGGTTCTCTAGATATAGAGTGGACACAATTTGTTACTGACGGACAGACTGATCACTATAGGGCGTCCGCCATTCGGCGGGGCCCTAATTAGGAGTCTGAGATATAAGCTCAAGAGCTTTCCTATATATGGACATATATGAATTCAAAATCAACAAAGGATGTGTGAACATCTTATATTGTGATTACTTGTGATTATAAGATGTCTTACATGCCATTTACAGGGAGATGTAATACAAAGTTTCAGGAAGAGGGATATGAGATGACATGGGATAATTTTATAGAAAAGTTGGCTAATACATGTAAATGTATGCTATATATAAAAAGGAAAATATATTGGTTAGACGGAGATGTATATTAAATTATTAAACGTGTAGACATGCAAGTTTTATATTTCTCCAAAATTAATTTTAAAATATGCACACGTTAGCTGTTTAGTTTTAGATTACAAAATTAAGGAATGGATATTTCTACTGAAGAACCTATGTTTTATTTTTTTTAGTATATACATTTACAAAAATATGGTACTGATAACAAATTCTATATAAGATATAAAAGTCCTGTATATCTTATCATATTGCTATTAACCAAAAGTAAGACAAAGAATTCATCCATGAATAATTGAACATGTACACATTTTTATATAAAACAATTTACAGAAGGTGTAAATTAAAAATTGTTTGGTTGGTAGTTAAACTATAAGGACTGTTCATTGCAAGAGCAAAAATCAACTGTCTTATTTTTTGGAATATACAAATCATTTCTCCCTTCACACTTTCAATTATTTGTAAAAAATAGTGTGCATTTATATCATGCAGAAAATAATATGCTATAAAACAAGTTAACAAAAATGTCTAAATCTTAAATATTATACTATTAAAAAATGTCTACATTAAAAAATATTATACTATGTGTGAGAAGACTAGTATAAGCTCCATCCAAAACAAAGTGCACTATGGGAAGACTAGTACTAGAGGTGAGATAAAAATCCTCAAAACATACTTCACTTTTGGATCGTGAAAAATCCACAGCAGTGTACATGAGACTAGAGTCTGGTCGTTTTATACCCACTCCCTTGATTGTGTCCATCAGAATGTGACCGAGTGCTCGTACTTGTACTGTGCTGTATGGACGTGTCTTACGCTGATAAAGTAACAGTGAGCATGCTCATCAATGGTGATATTGTGAAAAGATGGATTTCTTATTTAAATGCAGGTATGATGTGTAATGATGTACTGTGAATACTTCATATGTGCATTAAACATAAAATTTACTTTTTTATCTAATGTAAATTCAGAAATTTTTGCGTGCATTTAACATTTGGATTGCTAAAAAATTGAAGCAAAGCGAGATTAAGTATTACCAATTAAAAAAATTTAGCCTTTAAAAAAAGGTAATCAAAATTCAAAATGCATTTTTTAAATTTTGAGAAACCTATCCAGTCGCATTTCTGCAATATTAAAAAAATGCAAAAATTTATGAATATACAACATGTACAATATTTTGTGCTTCAAAACCACTTTTTTCGTAATTCCCATTTACTTTTTCTTTGACAAATGAAAAAAAAAGTTAAACATGGGTGTCAATTTTTCAAACCTGGGAAACTATGAGATCTTCCTTAGTAGAACTCTTTCTAGAAGGAGATCTGCTGTAGAACCTATTTCCACGGTTTTTAACAACATTTTATCTTACCTTTCGCAATAAAATTACTTATGTCAAAACATATTTAATAACTAAAACAATATATATAGACGACTTTATTTTGTTTTATAATAATTAATTAACTAAAGCAACATATTGTGTAGATGGGACAATAATTTTGTCAATCTTTACAGGACAATTTGGGAAGCTGTCATCAATAGTTGCAGTTGAACTTGACACAGACATGTAAACAAGAATATGTGTCTATGAAAGCCATGGGTCACTAAAACTATCAGTTTTCCATGTTGAGTGAGCCATGAAATCTGGGTCAAACCTTTACATTGCATATACAATTATATATAACTTAAAAAGGTTCACATCAAAAGATGATGTACTAATACTTTAGTTTCAAGTTGATGTGAACACAACTTCATGATAAACTATCTTAATAATGACCAACACTTTAACATCTGCTTTTCATGTATAAAATGGAAGAATGTTTATGTTATCATTTCAAGGTCTGATTATTCTAAGGTCCAAAATCAATAAGAGAAATGATAAAAAATTCCCATCATGTCTGACCACTTCTACCATTTTTGAAAATAGAATAACATAAAATTGTAAAAGACAGTTGAAAAGATAAAACTGTCAAAAATGTTGTACATTACAGAGAATTTATAAAATCTAAATTTTCCCATAATATATTACTATATTAGTCCCTTACATATATATACAGAGACCTGGTTTACAAACATGTGAGTGGATAGATCTGAAGTTGTGTTATGTATTTCCAGAAAGGTTGTGTAAACTATTGAAAATTTGTTAACAAATTCAACTAAACTATTTCATGACTGTAATTTTTAAAACTCATTTCGAACCCTCATTCCTAAGCTGATCTAACATCCACCTCTTCAAAAAACATACTTCACCATTTCTATAATCTTTGACTATGAACAAAATATCGTGAATTATCCCTTAAAACTCTAAGTAATGAAATTAATAGACATATATATTACCTTATAGCATGGAGTGGAAAAATTTAGTCAATTCCTCTGAATATTTCTGGTCAAGAAATATAAACATTAAATATTTCTACATTTATGTTTGCAATCTTATATAACTGTTAAACAATAAACAATCTTTGTAATTATCATTCCACAAGCTTTTTGTTAAACATTCTTTGTTTGTATCCCCCTACAGTTCTTTTAAGTTAAGATATTTTTAAGTTAAGATATAACTGGGCCAAGAAGATTGTTTATCATACTCCAAAATGATCCTGACTAGTTTTTGATTACATGTTTATGTAACACAACATGTAACTTGTAATACCTTTAAGGGTCAATGCTATAAAAAGAACATGAAAGGCAAAAAAAAGGGACACAATATTGCTAGAATTTCACCACTGATTAAAACTTGCTATTTCATAAACAACTTACTTGTTGCTTTAGCAGTTAAAATGCAGAGAAAAATCATCTGAAATCTCTGTACTGATAACATTATTGAAGCTGAAAGACTGCACCATTTCATTTGCAACCTTTAACCCAAATTGAAGTGAAACCTTTTGGAACCAATTCAGAAAATCAAATTGAGGATATAAGTGTTTTGGGGCATTCTCCAAATAATATTCCTGGGACACATCATAGCCCCAAATAAAAAAAAAATCTTTTAAGAACCCATTGAAAAAACTGAGAAAAATAGACATACTGGTTGGTTCCCTTATCTAGTCTAACCTGTAACTCAAGGTTCATATCAGGCCTTATATAGGTAACAAAAACCTACTTACATTGTATCACACTTAAGTATTTACACTGTATCAACTTTATACCTGAAATATCCCATGGTTGACTGAAAACTTGAGCAGAAAACTGTCTTTTATATAAAATTTGCCTAGTTCTTAGTCATATATATACCTGTTCAGTTTCCATTGTGGTTTTAGAGGAGAAGGATAATGAAAAAAATAACATATGGACAGCTTCAATTTGGATAAATGATGGACATCAAATAAAAGCAGTAGCTCAAACCAACCCTTAGGATGTAAAATATGAAAAAAAAAACCAGAAAAGCATATACATGTATATATCACTTGCAAATTGCAAACTTCTAGCAAATAAAGCTCAAAATTATAGCTGATGTATAACACATAAAATAATATCAACATTGCCAGTCCTTACATACAAAGCTGATCACATGTTTAACCACAACATAACAGATCACCCAAAAACCAGTCTTCATACTTAATAATCAACAGGAAACCAGTATTTGACTGACCTGTTTCTCTGCTGCAACACAACTTAAAGCATCTAAGGCACGTAAATTCTGTTGAGTTGTAGCTACAGAAAGACCATCACCACTAGGCTTTCCCTGAGAAACCTGTTGGCTGAAAAAATAAAGAAGATAGTTTTTTTTTAAATATTGCATTTAGGTTTTCTGGAGAATATATAGGCATTATACATGAATCAGGAGTTGGCGATTCATCTTATATAAATATAGATTTTTTAAGTACTGTTAGCTTTAGCATAATATACTTTAAACAAACTTATATCTGTGAGCAATATATTTTCTTGAGTAGAAAAACAATGTGAATATAAAGTGTTGTGAATTTGTCAAACACAGATCTTCTCTAATAGGAATGCAAAACAAACAAAAATAACTGAAAATGGCATAACGTGAAAAGGCATCTGTAAAAATAACCTGGTTTAAAGTAACAGCATATGCCTTAATCTTTTGGCATTAAGTCATTGTTTCAAATGTCACCATGCCATCATTCCAGGAAATAAATTCATAGAAAATAGGACATTTTGTAAAGCTAACTACTTTTTCCTGCAAGAAAACTACTTTGTTAAATTGTAATAGAAAGGGATGCTATTCTTGAATAGCTTGGTGAGAAGTTATTTTCATATAACATTTTGTATAATGAGTAAGAAGCAAGTTCGTCAAGTTTTTAAAACATTTTTAGCTTTCATATATATTTGAAAATATGTTTTCAAAAATCACCTGAAATTGCTAAAATTATCACTTTTTGTCATAAAACTTCAAATGTGAAGTTACAACGAGATTCCTATCAGATTGGTCCAAAAAATATTTCAAACATGGTATCAAAAAGAAAAGTATGGTTACAAAAATTATCTTTTCATCTTTTTGTCAGTTTCTTTCAGTTCTTGAAACTTCCATAAATAGGAAAATTCTATAGATTTGTTTGTGCAATTTATATAGCCTACAATCCATGGCTATTAATCCTGAATAATTGAATCAACTATGAATGACGTCAAACTTTTGATATAAGGATAATATTTCTTTCATAACTTTTATTATTTACAATTAAAATAAAAATTTCTTTATTTTGAAGGACAGTAACTGCATCACTGAAATTGATTTTAAATCATCACCAACCTCACCGAGATTTTTATCTACGAAACAAAAAAAAAGCAAGGGTCAAGAAATACTTTACACAAAATCGGAAGATATTTTTTTATCGCTATTTAGAATCAATGTAATTGGTGATTTTATCAGTGAGAAATATTTTATTCATGAACATTTACGTAAATAATTGATTCTGGAAGGTCGTGAATAGAGATCTTGTGAAAATCTATGTTTAATTAAATATGGAGAAAATTGTTTTAAGATTGCATTCTTGTTTTACAAAGGAAGTAACCCATGTTTAATTGCAAACATTATTGTACTTTCAAGCCTGAAAATAATCAGTTATATTGTAATGTAGTGACATTATCATTTATGGAAATATATTTTCTTAAAAAAGATATATAATGTTTCATACTAAACATTAACAAAATTGATTCAAGTCCCACCTTAATGTAGAAAATGAGGAAATTTTTATTTGCAGCGTTTACCGATAAAATAATATTGATTTGGTCTCTATAAGTGCATATAGTTCAAATTTAATATCATCTTAAAAGTGCAGTACCTGGGTATTTGAAATTTGTTCTTAAAATCAATCAACTTTGGTGCAAAAAATAAAGAGGACCAAATAATTAAACTTGCATGAACTTTATCATTTAGATGTACATAGCTTCTTAGAAGATATGCTGATTCTACATTTAAATTTATTATGTCGACACGAAAGACAACAACACTCAAATTTTACCGCATAAGTCGTTTTATTGGTCGACATGTTTCGCCAGCAAGCGTGGCGTCTTAAGGACCATTTTAAATTTATTGTATGTCTCCAGATTATAGTTACATTCTCTACAGCCACTTGAATTTCTATCCATTAATAATTAAAAAATGGAAAGCAATTTTAGGACATACGGACGTACAGACAGACAAGGGTAAACTTTAATACAAGCACCACTTGGCGAGGCATAAAAAAAAAACATTGTACAGACATTTTTGTACTTGTGTAGTATAGGGGCCCTCATAATACTAAACAATATAAGATAAGATGTTTTTTTTAATCATTTATGGATAGAAATTCGAATGACTGTGCATTCTCTGATAAAATGTTATATTAACCTTAACAAGCATTGGATATTACTGTACAATGCATAGCAACCAGTCATATCAAAGGAAACATCATGAAGGTAAATTTTAAGCATGGAAAAAAATCTTTTGATCAAATAATTTATGACCTTTAATTAAGAGCAAATGAGGTTTATTTATCCAAGAAAAAATGATATTCATCAAATGAAATCAGGAAATATATTATTACTGAATTAATTAACTCTTGTTGTTACTTATAAAAATTATTGATTGCATAATATTTTGTATTCCATAGATGAACTTATATGCACTTAAACCAGTGAGCAATCAAAATGGTATCAAAATCACCTACTTTTGTCTGGTTAACATTAATTTCTGATATTAAAGCAAATCTAGGTTATTAGCAAAGATAACAACTTTGATGGAATTATGTCAAACTAAGTAACCAAATTCAAAAATGAAATTCAGCATGTAATTACAAAACAGCATGTGTGCATTGATTTTGTTTGTGGTGCTTGAAATCTTTAATATATTTAAACTCTTTTAAGTATTTGTAAGCAATACGATAGGTGCCACATGTGGCACAAGAACAGTTGCTATCCTTTCTGGGGCACCTGAGTGTTGGAGAAACATTTTATGAGTTACTCCATGAAACATTTAATGAGTAACACCATGAAAAATTTAATGAGTTACTCAATGAAACATTTTATGAGATACACCATGGAACAGTTAATGAGTTACACCATGAAACATTTAATGAGTTACATCATGAAACAGTTAATGAGTCACACCATTAAACGTTTAATGAGTTACACCATGGAACTTTTAATGAGTTACACCATGAAATATTTTATGAGTTACACCATGAAACTATGTGAGTTACACCATGAAACATTTTTATAAATTACACCATGAAACAGTTATGAGTTACACCATAAAACATTTAATGAGTTACACCATGAAATGTTTAATGAGTTACACCATGAAACTATGTGAGTTATACCATGAAACATTTAATGACTTACACCATGAAACAGTTATGAGTTACACCATTAAACATTTAATGAGTTACAACATGAAACAGTTAATGATTTACACCATGAAACAATTAATGAGTTACACCATCAAATGTTTAATGAGTTACACCATGAACCTATGTGAGTTATACCATGAAACTTTTAATGAGTTACACCATGAAACATTTTATGAGTTACACAATGAAACATTTTATGAGTTACACCATGAAACTATGTGAGTTACACAATGAAACATTTAATGAGTTACACAATGAAACATTTAATGAGTTACACAATGAAACAGTTATGAGTTACACCATGAAACATTTAATGAGTTACACCATGAAATGTTTAATGAGTTACATCATGAAACATTTTATGAGTTACACCATGAAACTATGTGAGTTACACTATGAAACATTTAATGAGTTACACCATGAAACAGTTATGAGTTACACCATTAAACATTTAATGAGTTACACGATGAAACAGTTAATGAGTTACACCATGAAGCAGTTAATGAGTTACACCATGAAACGTTTAATGAGTTACATCATGAAACAGTTAATGAGTTACACCATGAAATGTTTAATGAGTTTCACCATGAAACATTTTACAAGTTTCACCATGAAACATTTAATGAGTTACACCATGAAACGTTTAATGAGACTGAGTTACACCATGAAACATTCAATGAGTTACACCATGAAACATTTAATGAGATACACCATGAAACTATGTGAGTTACACCATGAAACATTTTATGAGTTACGCCATGAAACAGTTAATGAGTTTAACCATGAAATATTTAATGAGTTACACTATGAAACGTTTTATCAGTAACGCCATGAAACATTCAATGAGATATGCCTTAAACTATCTGAGTTACACCATGAAACATTTTATGAATTTCACCATGAAACATTTTTTTAATTACACCATGAAAGATTTTGTTAGTTTCACCATGAAACATTTTGTGAGCTACACTATGAAACTGATTGAAAGTTAAACCATGGAAGATTTTATGAACTACACTATGAAAGAATCTGTGAACTACACCATGAAAGATTTGGTGAGGTACATTATGAACAATTTTTTGAATTTTATGGAACATTTTAATAGTTTAAATGCTATAAAATATTGTGAAAGTATTTGAGCTAGACTAAGAAACATTTAAAAGACCTATAGACAATGAAACTAAATTGTATTGCAAATAATTATATTCAATTCTATTGGTTATTAGTCTGATCTGATTGAGTTATTATTGTCAATAGTATTAACTTTGTGTTAGCCCTGCTGACAAACAATGTTCACTACAAAACAGTCACAAACTACTGAACATACATCTAAACAAACTATACCTCTTTTGTAGATTCATTCTAAACATAAATCAGACATTAAAAATTCAAACACTAAAAATAACCAAATATAAAATTTCCAAAAATATTAAAAGAAAGCTATTTTTCTTTCATTGCTGTATGACTTGCCTGACAAACAGTACAACTCTGTCAAACATGAGCCTTTCAAAAGGTTTCATTACATGAAATTTATCTGCTCCTAATAGAGGAGAAATATTCTATCTCATGACATATAATATGCTGACATTACCTTGGAAGTCTTTTCATTTAAATGATAGCAGGCATCTTACATGCACTGTGCAGCACATGCATGCCTATCTTTATGCCATCACAACAACAAAACTGGAGAAAGGTGAGAAAATTTGAAGTCATAATTAAAGAACAAAAAAGGTGGAAAAAAATAACAATCCAACAGGAAGAGATTACATCACAAGACCTACAGGTAACAGCTTGCATAATTTTAGGCTCACTATTCAATTCATTATGGCCCAGATTTAAAATAAGATATATATATATATGCCAACTTAAATGATTATAATTCATTATAACATATGAACCTTGACCTCTACAAATAAAACTGTATGAATTAAATACCCATTACTCAATGTACTGCTCAATACACAAAAACTCAACAATCATGGGACACTACCACCATCTATACAATGCTATATAAATCCCATGAATCTTGTATACACATTTGTGAGAGAAAAAGCTGAGAAACATGCTGTGGTTTATATACTACAAGCTATATAGTAGAACATTAGATGTAAGAATAAGTTAAGAGTTTCTTCCTTCGCCAATTATATCTTACCGTGGAAGTCGCCAAGAGCTGCAGGAAAAAATGACCATCAGATTAAACATGGTCGGTACATAGTCATAATTTTGATTTAGCAGCATACATGCACTAAGCATGCTCAATGTGAGCCATCCTTAATTTAATCTCAATCTATGGCATTAATAATAGGGAAAATGTCATTTGAAGCTACAGTTTAAGGATACTTATATATATAATGCCCAGAAATAGACATGTTTGTTGTTCTCATTTTTGTGTTCTGACTGCCACTACAATAATATAAAAGATCTTACAATACAAAATGTATTTTTACTGGATATATCTGTCATGTCTGTATTAATTTTTCCATTTAGTGCTATTCTAAAAATCATAAACTTTAATTATTCAATAAATAATTTCAGTTCCATTTGCCAAATAAACAGGACACCAGGATCTAAATAAAAAAATAAAGTAATATTCAGAGAAAAGAAGCTTAACCTATTCAAAGGGAATGTTACCAAATCTATATAAAAATAATATTTTATTTACATATCATTTTTAATTCATCAAATTTCAATAAACCTATTGATTTACCATTTAATATAAAAATTGTAATTTTCATGTAAATACACATGCTTGAAGAGGATTAAAGGTAATTTTTAAATAATGTTTACACTAAATTTCTTATCAATTTCATATACATTTATATAATGAACTGAATACAGTCTTAATAATTCAATTTCACAAGTAAATAGAAATGTTGACAAAGTATCCAAACTATCGAAATCGAACACCTTGTCACGTCAGACTGGTACTGAAATGATCGATCATGGACTTGTATCAATTATCCAGAAAAACAACTTTTTTACACAACAGATTTAATGTAAAGTGCTTGACATGTATGACCTTTTGAGAACGTTTGAAATCAGGTTATCTCTGTGACAATTCAAATAAACTGAAATCTCTTTGGTAAATTAAATACCGATTTGATCTGAGATAGCATACATGAATCAACACCATTGGTAGAGTTTCAGGAGGCTTTAAATATTGTACATTTATACACGTCGCTGGTATCTTTTTAAGATCAAAGTATAATGTTTGCGCTCAAACAATATTAAACAGAAGCATTTAAATGGTATTTTAGTCTGCCATTAAATTGATTTAGATTATTTCACAAAAATTCAATTGCTGGTATTTGTGATGCAATCCAGGACAGTGCATGACTTTGAGAAGAAATAGGACATGTAGATTTGTAAATACAACATGTACATGTAGTTTTGAGGCACAGATTTGAGGCTACATATACATGTAGATTTGACCCTAACAAATATAATAGAACATTTAAAAGAACAGAGTTTCAATGTCCCCCGTGTTGCACATATTTTATCAGTCCAAGGGCAAAACGAAAAAACCTTTTTTTTATTGTTCTTTAAAATTTTTATATCTTAGAGAAATGATGGCTTAATTGAGAGCAAATGCAATGCAGTTTCCGTTATAATTAATATTTCCAAGGGGCATAACTCTTTTAAAAATATTTGATTGCCACTGACTTCCAAATTGTCCAAGACATTGCTGATATAAACCTTTGATATACATGTAAATTAGTTTGAAAATCTCGCAAAAATTGTACACATGAGAGCACTTAAATGTACAATGCAATTTTTCATACCATTAATATTTCCAAGGGTCATAACACTTTTAAAAATAATTGATCGGCACTGATTTTTGAACTTGTCCAAAACATTGCTGATATTAATAACCTATGATATATTTAGTTTCATAAACATCTGGCAAGAATTGAACACATGAAAGTGATAACAATGCAATTTTCCATTAAATTAATATTTTCAAAGGGCATAACTCTTTTAAATTTGCTCATTAACACTGATTTTCGAATTTGTCCGAGACAATGCTGATATACACCTATGATATAAATTTTTAAAAAATCTAGTAAGAATTGTACACGTGAGAGCGCTAACAAGATCGGAGAGACAGATGAACGGATGCCAGTATTTCTATGTCCCCCTGCAACACGTTAAACGGATTGAAATTCTAAATGATTATTAATATCTAACAACCTGAAGGTTTCCTTCAAAATTGTTATTAACTTTAACAATTTTAACATGTAAATGTTGTAAGACTCTCTTTAACAAAAAGAAGAAAAATGGGTCAAAGAATCAAATGGTCAAGTTAAATATTTACTGGTTTGTACTACTATACAAATGCATATATATTGAATGCTTATGAGTTGGTATTTACATTGTACCAATGTAACCATGTTTACTGATTTATAAAATTTAGCAAAACTAAGGAAAAAGTCCAAATGTATGGTCTTTGGGCAGGAGATATTATAATTAGCCAACACAGAAATAATGGTCAAGAAAATGGTTCCTGTCCATCATACATGTAGTTGCTCTTAAAATTGAAACTGTCTAGGTTTTAAATTTACCCTTTGGAAAATCTGCAAAAATGATTATCTTGTGTGTTCAAAAATATTCTAGAGAGCTAAAAGCCTCTAGGATGAAAATTGTAGGAAGAGTTATTGAAATTCAAAATATATCATGTATGTGTACTCTCCATAAAAAATGCTGCTAAAAATTGCTTACATTTCATCATCTGGAAATTTTTGAAAAATTCACTTAACCTGCACATAAAACATTTGTAAAGTGTAGGTGTGTATTGCCACAAATATGATAAAAAAGTTTGAAGGTTCCAGATTGAAAATTGTATGAAGAGTACTAGTTGATAAAACTGGTATCTGCTTTTCCTCTACCACCCACCTTACAATTTCAACGAAGGAAGAGCTAATTTGCATTTGGTGCAGCCCAGTTTTCCCCTCAGGTTCTTATTGCTCAATGGTACATGATGCTTTCTGAATATATTTTGTGAAAGAATATATTGGAAATGTGGTGCTATGATTTTAGGAAAACCATCCTTTTTTAAGTCCCATGGTGCTATTTGAAAAATTTGAAAAAGAACATAGCGTGCACTCTGACTCTGCCAAAATATGAAGTTAATTCCTTGATAATTCCATGACTCCCTACTTTTGAAACTGCATGTATTACACCAGGACTAAAAACTTCCTACAGAGATTGTCATTTTGAAAAAAAGGTGTCAGTTTACATAAGTATAAAATTCATTTTATAATATAAGTAGATCGACCCAGAGTGCTTTCTTTTCAATTTAATTCACCTGCAAAGTAACAAGTCCATCAGTAGAGTCTAGACCCTTGATCATGTTGATAATTACAAATTTACAATCGTTAACAATATAAATGATTGTATGCCTACAATAGAAGAAACATAAAATTTAATGGCTATAATCTTGTATTGATAATTGATTTTAATTCAAAGTAATTGTTGGTAAAAATTATATTGAATTTAGCATCAATGAATATTTCTGTCATGTCTGTTTGAGATTATTTCAAGAATTTTTTAAATATCCCTGCTTAACCATGTTAACGTGAGGAAATAAAGAGTTACATGTATGTAATCAGATGTTTGAAATGGGAGCAGGAAAGACTACTACACATTTACCTCTGACTATGACTACTTGAGGTTTCTCAAAAAGGTATTCAGACTATATAGCTAGTATACATAATTCATAGTTATAATTCCACTTCACGAAATTTATCATGTTCTATGTGTTCTTGATGAAAGTGATGATCCAAATTAAACTCTCCAAAATAACCCATTTCTGATGATGCTTTACTGTGATATATATTATATACTTTTGTTAATAATATAAATTAAACCTCAAATTGAACACAGAAAAAAATCTTTGTTGCACAGAATAGAACCTGACTTTTAAACATGTTAAAAGTTCTGTTAACTGATTGATACAATGTAGTGAGCTGTAAAACACAATATAATTTGTATGATCAATGATAATTCAAATATTACCCAGTCACCTGAAGGGATTCACTTTACTTTAACATGCTGAAGAAAAACTACCCAAGATATTTTAGATAATGGTTTCTGAAGACAACTATCCTTACAATTATTATAAAGGAAAAAATTGTCTGATGCATTTTTACAACAATCTCCAAGGCATTAAATTTACAAATCCCATATCTGCAACAAACATTATACATGAAGGAAAAGAGCATGTTCTAACTATACATGTATATACATGTCTTGATTGATAGATGTTCAATTTCTGCTTTCAGCACTATTGTGCTATTTCGTGGTGGAAATTTTTTATTCATTCTTATTCGTGGAGGAAGCCAGAGTGCTCGGAGAGAACCTCTGAATATACATGTACTTGTACTTTAAATTTACTAGTAGTTATATATTCTGTATGAACAAATACATGCATGGCACACTAGCTATATATACATATATAGTCAACGCTAGTGATTTTAATACAAGCTGTCATGACTTACAAATGTTCATTTATGTGTTAATGTTGATAAGTATATATATATAAAGAGTTAAGACTTTTGATTTTGTTTGCTCTATTTGAGTTCTAGATACACCAATGTATGTAATTATATATATGTGATTTATAAATTTTATCATGTTTATATCACTAGTTTTTTAAATATAATATATTTATCAAAATATTATTTGCACCTGAAGAGTCTCTTTGAATAAATATATATATTTATCAATTCAAAGGTTTCTCCCTGGTGTTACCTGTAAATGTAAAGGGTTTTTCTAAGTGCACTTTGAATGTCACATAAAGTTTTCAACTACTCTTATTTTCACACAACTGTAAGCATTCTGAAGTAAGCTTTTAATCTTCTTATTTGCTTAAAGATTCTTTTGTGTGGGAATTTGATTAAATAGATGAGAAATGGACTCTTACTGTCAAATCAAAAATAGATCAAGGTGAAAATTATTTAAAGGCTTGTCATTACTGAACATAATGCTTTATTACAATGTATGATTAAGAACGTATATATGTACATTGTATGTATGGAAAAAAAATTGGATTAAATACAACTCATGCTTTATTCAATGATCTTTTTCATTTATTTTCCTGAATATTCAATTTGTATGAAGTGGGCACATTTTCATTTCATTATTCATTAAACAATTATGCAATGTAAAATGACTACATCTTTGCAAAGAAAAAAACAACAAATGTTCCATTCTTTTAAGGAAGTTTGAAATAAAATACATTGAGCAAGATATTTAAAAAATATTAATCAAGTTAATTGTTAATAAATCACCTGTATCTATATTTTGGTAAAAATAGAATAGTCACTGCCAAGTTTTTTTTCTCTCAGAAAACTCTTATACACAGGGGTTTCATTATCTTTCATGTTGACTGGTACTTTCCCCATTTGTAGGTGGTACTTTTCATTTTATTCCATGAATACTTTATATAAAAATTCCTACATTTAGGAGGTACTTGTCAATAGCTTAGGAGGGTAAAAGTACCGGGTACCGCCTCCTAATGAATGGCCTGTATACATGACATATTTATACATTTTGTAATTGCTCTGATTTATTCATTTATCTTGGTATTCCCTTTGACATTACATGGAGTAAAATCATGCTAGGAACTTTGATAATAGGCAAATTAAGTGTCTGAAACTTATGCATATGTTTATGTTTTAAATATAAAGATATAAATGTACAAGAATTTTTTAGATAAAGAACTTTTAATCTATGTAAATGTCTAGTAAGATTTTTCAGGGGCATGAAATTAACCAATTTGAAAAAGAAAGAAAAGTTATTCTGTAATTGGTAACAATGACATCTGACAGAGGGTGTTCTTGCTTTTTATCAGATATCCACATCAAATTTTACTTTTTAAATGGATAAACTTGTCAATTTTCTTTACCATGTTTACCTTTCTTTTATTATACATGCTATTTAAGAAATTTGAGAATCTTTAAAGGTGAAAACAAAAATTGTATAGGCTTTCAAAATTCAAATTATAGATTTTCAGTGTGCAGTGTCAATCTAAAGTTTTTCCAATAAATTTCTTTTACCAATTGTTAAATAGTTCTGATCGAAATCTATATGAACAGTTTTTATCTGAATACTTCCAGAAGAATAAATGTTAAACTGCTCAATGATATAATGAAAACATTGAAGGCAATAACCAAATGATCAGTTTTTAAATCAATACTTGTTCAAAAACTCATTCATATTTTCTCATAGTCATATACAATATTACAATGTACATTTTTACCTTGGCTGGCTTTTGAGACAGTTACAAATACATGCATATATGTATGTAAAAAATGTATAACATGTATGGAAAATTCAAATATTAAGTGAAAGTGGCAAATATGTCATTTTTAATATGTAATATGTACATGTATTATACATCATTTTTGTACATGTGTACATGTACAATGTATATATGCCTTATGCATGATACAATTTGTATCTATAAACTCAATGTAATATGAAGCCCGTCTCATTTATCACAAAGATTATATGTATCTGTAACTTTAAGGTAAATCAATTGTGTACAAGTTTTGCTACATGTATTTATATTACACAATGATTGTAACTTTGCGAAACAAATTTTACTGAAAAAGAACATGTGTGGTGTAACATGTGCATATACATGTACATATAACTATAGCTAAAGTCAGCTTTCACAATCAATATCAAGCCTGTTTGCACTTGACAGGCCAGTAAAAATGTACTAGGGCCAGGAACATGTTTCTTCATACATGTTATTTAGAGGAAACAACCCTTATAAATATATAGAAATTTTGTGAAAAAAACCCTTATTTTTGAGCCTGTAGCTATATATAATAATAATAATAATAAATTCTTTATTTAAAGAGGGTAAACACAGTTAGTTACAATAACAAATCTTCCCTGAGGCCCTCATATACACTACAAGTAAAAAAATAACAATAAGAGAAAAAAAGCAAACATACATGTACATGTACAACATATTAACACAATCATTGACAATTGTATAGTCATGATAGCTAGCTCAATGTACATGTACCATTAGAACATGTAAAACAGTTACAGACTGCATGTAGTAAATAGATACATGTATTATATACAAATCAAAATCATACATTCTAAAAAAGTAATAGTTGCAATCATTTCAAGACTGAATATTGGGACTGCCTCAAGTATCGTTTTATAATTTGTTTAAAAGAAAAAGTGTTTTGCACTTTACGCATTTCATATGGTAGTCTGTTCCATAAAACTGATCCAGAATAAGCAAAAGATTTTTTAAACAGTTCAGTTTATAAGCATGATGAAGTTCAAGAGTTTTTGTAAAGGCTTGGTAAAACATGTTTTTCTAAATATTTCAGTCCTACCAAAGATGAAACAGTTTTTTGACTAGCAAGATTCAATGTATTTATACTTACACAGTAACTGTTTGAATATTTTTATTGTGACCATTTGGTAAAGAGGGCACAGTAACTTTAGTAGGTGCTTTTCCAGCTGATCTTTTTCCAGATGCTACTCTAGGTGTTTTAAATGAGTCTTTTTCATGCTCACTTGAATTTTCAGATTCTGATCTCCATGCAATATTGTGCATCAATGCTTCCTTGGAAAGTTTATACTTATAGGCTAAACTAGCAACATCTTTGTGTTGGTGATGATTGTGTTTAGTGCAGGTATGAGAACCTGATGAATGAGGGATGGGGTTTGAAGTAGATTGAGTACATTTACAAGCACCATTTGAGAGGGAGGTAGTTTCTCTACGTGTGTAACTAAAGGCTGCAGTAATAAGAGGCTGTGATGTTGACACAGTATATGGTTGATTGCAATGACTGCATATATTCTGACCAGAATTCTGAGAATATATATTTCCTGATGCAGTCGTATTGTTTTGTGCACTTGTTGTTATTGTAGTATTTTGAACTGCTATTTTCCTGGGTTCATTGGATTCTTTTTGGGCTACTGTTTTAATTCCACTCAACTGAGAATTTTCTTCTCTATATTGTTCAATATATGATTGGTGGTAAGGATAATGTTTGAACACAAAACTGTTTTGAATCAAGTTTTTTAATCGTGTTTGTTCTCTCCATGAGTAAGTTATTGGTTGTTGAGTTGGCTTTTCTTTTTCCAGCTTGCGTAGAACACACTTTGAACTGCTAAACCATCCAGTAACATCATCATTCCTTGTCACTTTTATAGTTTTTGGCACCTTTAACTCAGTGTTTCCTTTTGATTCAACCATATAATCAGTCAACCACAACTGATCATCAATTTCCAGTAATTTATTTTGTATCTGTCGATCCAAAAATATATTGAGATCATGATTGGAAGGGGATTTTGCTCTTGTTGCTGAGTTCATGGTTACTCAACTCACAGTTTAGTTTAATTAAAAAATATGTTTTCTATTTTGTCATGACATTTCCTTTCATTAACTACCAGTGTAAAACCAAAATGTTTGTAAAATCACAAGCAGTTTATCAATAACATCCGTTTTTCCATATATTCAATTAACAAAGCTGCTGCAGTCTCCCGACACATGTGCCCGTTCCTCCATTTTCAAACAATGATTGTTGGCATGACCATCCCTCTTGGCTGTTACTTTTTGTTTATCTTCCTAATTTAAAAAAATATTCGTCAAGTCCAGAATTCAAACACAAAGTTTGTTATGGAATAATTTTTTCGTTTCCTGTTTACAAAATTGCTTTTTATGAGAAGTGCAAAAGATTACTTAAAATGCAATTATCTTAACACAATAATAAGAGGGAGTGAATAGAACAGCATCGTAAATGTTTTGTTATGATTTACGACATTAAAAATCAACATGGTAAATCATATAAACGTAAAATTAATACAGTATTTTCACTTTTTGCTTAATATTTTTTCTTAAAATGCAAATGTAAATTCATTTGTTTGAAAACTTATTTAAGTACGACACTAATCTAACAAACGCTTGACAGAATGAACATTTGCCTTACCAGCAAACGCAACAGAGATTCCAAGTACCTTACATTTATTACGGAGGCTGCGCACTGGGAATTGCATTCCAAGATGGTGGCTGCTGATATAAACAAATACACACGCCGGTAAATAAGCGTGTTTTGTAAGATAAATGCAACCTTCCTATGTCATCATCAGTTCTATTTAACTCTCTGTCAATGATTGTTTTCTCTTTCAAATTACTCAGAATTAATAAAGGCAAATAGATATCTCAGATGCTGATTCTGAATTTATACAGTTGCTATGGTTTATTCAGGGTAAATAATAATCAAGAAGTAATGATTAACCGTGTTTTCTTCATTAATCATACATGCGCATAACAACTTAAGTTGTTATGAAAACACACCATCTATGTTATATTAAAATTATGCATGAATTTGATATACAGTAAGTCAAGAAAGTAGAAATGTAAACATGGATGTGTTAAACAAATTCCACACTCCACTTTATGCACATACTGATAATTACTGCTGTAACAATTGTCCTGTCAATACAAGTAAGTCAATAAGAGACGTATCTTCTGAAATATTTAAAAATGGTTAATTACAATAGCGCTTAAATTTGCATCAGTATAATCATGAAAATGGCTTGGAACTTGTATAATTTTGAACATCTGGATGGTTTATGAGTACCCATGCTACATCAATCTTTAAAGACCCAAATGTTGCAAAACACCTGTCCTACCTCCATGACAAATATGTTGTCTCCACAGATATAGCCCCAAACAGCATCCATTTTGTGTGTAAATCTTGTTACAAATGAATATGGTATTGACAATTCATATACTTCCACAATGCTTACCAAGGAGGAAATCCTGGATCATCATACATGTAGGTCTGTTCTATGTTCCTTTGGAATTTCAACCACTTGATCTTCCTTCGCTGTATTGGATATATCTTAACTACACAAGTGTCCTTTCAAACAACGTTATATTGCTTGGTCTTCTTTTATTTTAAATGGACTCACTTTTTTTTAAGTCAACATTACACTTTTACACTGGCAGCAGCAAATGGAGGTGAGACACAGGGTTCCACGGAACCCCTTATAAATTTTTTGTTTTAAATTATGTATTTTGATGATAAATGAACTCACTTTTTAAGTCAACATTACATGTACACTATTACATAGCAGAAATCGCAGGCGAGACACAGGGTTCCATGGAACCCTTACAAATTTTTATTAGTGTAACGGCACAGGGACTGTAAATTAAGGTCTATAAATCAGTTTATTGTGACTAAATCATCAGTATATAAATATCCACAGTGATAATTCTTTGTCACATAAATTTTCATCTATATCAATGTATATTCTAGATCTGTTATAAAAAATCGCATGAAAAATTTATATATATTTTCTTCCTCTTTCAGAACTTCATTATCATATAAATTTAAGGCAATTTAATGTTTCAATCCTCACAATTCTGTTTCCAAAATTACATTTCACATGTTACAAAAATGAAAGCAAACTTTCTCAAACTACCCATGCTTCTATCATTTGCAATCACCATAATCTATAACCCATGACAGCTTCAAATATTACTTTTTAGTATAAAATCAAAATCTATTTATTTTTGCCTTTATTTTCTTTTTTACATTTTTTTTGAATATCAGAAATCACTAAATAATAAATTTTAAGGGTAAAAATTATTTCCAAACTTAATTTCAATAACTGTTCAAGGGGAAACAATTCAAACGTAAAAAATATCAAAATCTACATTAATGGTATAAATGTACTATAAGTATAAATATAACAATAAAGATTAAAGAATGTACATATATCATTTTTAAAATAGTTATTAATTATTGAAATCTTTAAACCGTTTTAAAAATGTTACCATGAAAAAAGTGTTTGACAACTCGGTATACAATACACCTTCTAGATCACAATAGAAGGAGTATTGTGCTAAGCTGAAGGTTTGGATGTGGTTTACAGGATCTAGAAAAAAAGGGTGAAAAAAATAAAGAATAATGGGGTGCTAAAATTTAAGATTAGAGAAGGATTTGCAAAGGAAATTAAAAAAAAGAAAGGAAGAGACCCCTTTAGCTTTGGACCATAACTGAAAAGTCCTCCTAAACCTACATTTGTAAATGTCCAAAAATTAGAAGGATGGAGACAGATATTGAGTACAAATGTATGTCTTCAGTATTGGGAGAAAAAAAAAATGATGATTGAGTTATCTTTCTTGGAACAAAATTCTTGTATTTGCAGGTGCTCATACATTTACTTGCAGAGGTTTCTTCACACTGTAGATGTTTCTTCACACTGTAGAGGTTTCTTCACACTGTAGCGGTTTCTTCACACTGCATAGGTTTCTTCACACTGTAGAGGTTTCTTCACACTGCATAGGTTTCTTTACACTGTAGAGGTTTCTTCACACTGTAGAGGTTTCTTCACACTGTAGCGGTTTCTTCACACTGCATAGGTTTCTTCACACTGTAGAAGTTTCTTCACACTGCATAGGTTTCTTCACACTGTAGAGGTTTCTTCACACTGCAGAGGTTTCTTCACACTGTAGAAGTGGTAAATTTTAATGGCGTCCATTCACTTTATAATCAGAAAATCAGTAACTAAGTTACTTTAGACAAAACACAACTGATATTAAATTTTAAACAGGTTTTTACTAATGATTTCATCTATCTGCATAAATTACATTTTAATCATGCAACTACGGTAAAGGAATTGCAACTTGTGGTTGTTTGAGAAAGACATTTAAATAGAAATGCTGACTGACTGATTCTTTTAGAAAAAAATAATTTTGAGGATCATTAATGACCCTGTAACAACAATTATGACACCTCATCCTGTTGTTGAACATTAATTGGAATTGGAAACTTGTCATATATACATGTTGCCAGTGAAATTGAGATTTTCAGGTAATTTTTTTTATCTCACTTTTACACAAATTGAAGGATGTACTTAGGCGAGGTTTATGAAATTTTTGTTACAAATATCGAATCTTCGACCTTTGAGCAGAAGTCATTTAAATTTGATAGATAGATAAATTGATGTTTGCTTGATGTCCAGTGGCAAATATTTCATGCATGTTCAAGTCGATTAAAATTTGAACATACTATTATGAATACACAGACATTTTAATTCAAAATTATTTGTATTTCAGATGATGTTTGTTACAAATGTTGCCAGAAGTTGATATGGCAAAAAGAATGTACCATGGAAAGCCATGATGTCATAGAAAAGGACAAAATAGAAACAAAACCTCCAGCCACAAAATCAAAGAAAATAAAAAAGAAAAGTGCTATCGCAAAACTTACAGAAAAGAGAAGAATATCAGAATCTGGAAGTGAATTTGGATCAGCAGCATCATTACAATCAAACACTAGTAAAATATTGCCTGATAAAAATGTACAAGCAGAAAATATCAATCTTGATAAAAAGGGAGATAAATTAAAATTAGAGGCAAATAAGAAAGATATTGAAATTTCTAATTTGAAAAAGGGAGATAAACCTTCAAATTTAAATGATGAAACAAAAGACAATTTGTCACAAAATTTAAATACTGATACTACAAAGAAAACTGTTAAAGATAAACTAGATAGCTCAACATTACTTATTACACCAAAGGGAGATAATCAGACTAATTTGAATACTAGTGCTTCTTCAGTAAAACGTGATTTGTTAGATGACACACCTATACCTAAATCAAGAAATTATAAGGTCTTAAGTGATGCATCAGATATCTCTCCCCCTAATTATATGGACATAGACTCAGATAGTGATGAAAAAGATAAAAAAGTAGGAGATGAAGATTTTATAAGTAATAAAGCTCCATCTGATGCAACTGTGAGACGATTTAGAGCTTTAAAAGTTGCTAATCAACGTTCAGGATCTCTTGAATCTTTGAAAAATAGTCCATTTGTGCCAAAACCTCCAGAGACACCTAAATCTGGGAGGAGCCATTCTAAATTTTTATCAAAAGGTGAAAAGCGTAACAGAGAGACACATTCATCTGGGGAAGAAGCTAATAGTTCTAAGTCTAAAAAACAGGAAAATATGGCTGAAACAATGTCTACTGATGATGTCTTTGTAGAAGACACAAAAAAGGGTTCTAAATCTGACTTAAAATATTCAGATCAAAACGATGTTCAAATGAGTCCAGGCAGAGATAGTAAGATGGGATCAGAAGTTGACATTGCTCAAATCACTGAAAACTACAAACACGTGTTACAGAATGATGCAGATTCAATGACATTTGGAAAACTGCCTCCCGTCTCACCGAAGACTCATCCACCTCCGCTTCCTGGTGATATATCATCTAGATCATTACGGACAGCGTATAGAGCTGATACTACCTTTAAAAGAATAGACAAGACAAGCTTTGACACTATATCAAATCGTTCATCTACATCATCGGCTATCATTGCACCTATTTCTATAAAAGAAGCAAGAGCAAGGTAGGTTTTTTTGAAGTACAAATGTAAAATAAAGGCAACACATATGCAGTGTTCTTCCCACAAATTCCATATACATGTACATGTGGTATACTGGTAAACATCAAATTTTTAAATAAAATCTTGTTTCTAAAAATTAACATCACATCATCATAACACAATCTATAAGAAAGTCATTTTCGATGTTTTGCATAATCATGAATTCTAAAAGGCCTGAGGGAAGAGTGCTGAATTATGTTATGAAGTGGTTTGTTGGTCATGGGTCTTTATGAACTTTAGCCATAAACTGTGATTCATAACAGTAATGGAATATAACTTCAATAACAGACGTCTGACTGTAGATTGAATAGAGGTATTTTTAACTAAAAGCTGCTTTAAGCAAATGTTTTAGGACATTGCACAGATATATTTTAGGATATCCACATACATTTTTGTCCAAAATATAACTGCAATGGCATTTATACTTCTAATTCATCTACTCAGTGTATCAGTCTCAATGTGGAAATCATTAATGATGTTAACGTTTTATTCACAAAATTTTAGAACACTTGATGTTTAGTGGACGTAGAGTAAATCCCATTTTACTTCCTTCATTCCTTCCTCAAATTTGAATAGACTTCAGCTTAGCTGTCAGATGGTAGTGATGATTCAAGTACAGATGTATATATTTTATTTGAAAATCTGTTTTTTTAAATATCTATGATGAGTTGTTATGTACATATTGTACATGTATGGAAGTGATATTCCTCAAGTACATTGTATTTATTTTATGGGGAAATTTAGTCTTTTGTTGGAAAAAATGCCTATGTTGAGTTTAAGTTTTTTTTGTATGAAAGATACAAACTTGAATATCTTGAATGCTTTTTAGATTAAATAAAATTGAGAATGGAAATGGGGAATGTGTCAAAGAGACAACAACCCGACCATAGAAAAGACAACAGCAGAAGGTCACCAACAGGTCTTCAATGCAGCGAGAAATTCCCCCACCCGGAGGCGTCCTTCAGCTGGCCCCTAAACAAATATATATACTAGTTCAGTGATAATGAACGCCATACTAAACTCCAAATTGTACACAAGAAACTCAAATTAAAAATAATACAAGACTGACAAAGGCTAGAGGCTCCTGACTTGGGACAGGCGCAAAAATTAAAGTTTATTTAGATAATTTTGGGGATGATATTATTATTTTGTAATGAAAATAATTTTTTTTTGTGACGATGGTGAGAGTTCAATAAAAATGAACTGATCTGAAATATTTTAAAGATACATGTATGAGTATTTTGGATGAATCTTCAGATGGGAGCAATTTAATTAGTTTACGGGACGTATTATGGTATACAGTTGACGTCCGTCTGTCAGTCCGTCGTCAACATGTCGGACATTAACTCAAAAACGCTTTTACCAATATGCATGAAACTTTGGTGAATTGTTTATAGCTATTGATGTGAGCTCCCTTTCGTTTTTTTATAAATTTCGGATTTACCGTTTCCGAATTTTAGAGTTTTATTCATTAAAAAAGGGGGGATTTTCCAGTTTTCGGACAATAACTCAAAAACAATTTCACCAATTTGCAAGAAACTTTGGTGAATTGTTTAATGCTATCGACATGAGCTCCCTTTTGATTTTTATAAATTTTAGACTCTACGTTTCTGATTTATTGGGTTTTATTCGTTACAAAAAGGGGGATTTTCCAGTTTTCGGACAATAACTCAAAAATGCTTTCAGCATTTTTTATGAAACTTTGGTAAATTGTTTATATCTATTGTTGTAAGCTCCCTTTTGATTTTTATAAATATTAGATTTTATTTTTCTGAGTTACAAGATTTCATTCATAAAAAAGGGCTGATTTTCAGGTTTTTGGACAATATCCTTAAAGTGCTTAGAGCAGTTTTCATTAAACTTTGATGACTGATTTATATCTATTAAGATAACTTCCCTTTAGTTTTTGTCGAGCCTGCGACTTTTGTCGCAGAAAGCTCGACATAGGGATAGTGATGCGGCGGCGGCGGCGTTAGCTAACTTCTTAAAAGCTTTATATTTTAGAAGGTGGAAGGTCTGGATGCTTCATACTTTGTATATGGATGCCTCATGTTACGAAGTTTCCGTCAGTCACATGTCCAATGGCCTTGACCTCATTTTCATGGTTCAGTGACTACTTGAAAAAAAAGTTAAGATTTTTTGTAATGTTAGATTCTCTCTTATTATAAGTAATAGGATAACTATATTTGGTATGTGCGTACTTTGCAAGGTCCTCATGCCCGTCAGACAGTTTTCACTTGACCTCGACCTCATTTCATGGATCAGTGAACAAGGTTAACAGGTTAAGTTTTGGTGGTCAAGTCCATATCTCAGATACTATAAGCAATAGGTCTAGTATATTCGGTGTATGGAAGGACTGTAAGGTGTACATGTCCAACTGGCAGGTGTCATCTGACCTTGACCTCATTTTCATGGTTCAGTGGTTATAGTTAAGTTTTTGTGTTTTGGTCTGTTTTTCTTATACTGTATGCCATAGGTCTACTATATTTGGTGTATGGAATGATTGTAAGGTGTACATGTCTAGCGGGCAGGTGTCATCTGACCTTGACCTCATTTTCATGGTTCAGTGGTCAAAGTTAAGTTTTTGAGTTTTGGTCTTTTTTTCTAATACTATGTGCAATAGTTCAACTATATTTGGTATGTGCGTACCTTGCAAGGTCCTCATGCCCGTCAGACAGTTTTCACTTGACCTCGACCTCATTTCATGGATCAGTGAACAAGGTTAAGTTTTGGTGGTCAAGTCCATATCTCAGATACTATAAGCAATAGGTCTAGTATATTCGGTGTATGGAAGGACTGTAAGGTGTACATGTCCAACTGGCAGGTGTCATCTGACCTTGACCTCATTTTCATGGTTCAGTGGTTATAGTTAAGTTTTTGTGTTTTGGTCTGTTTTTCTTATACTGTATGCCATAGGTCTACTATATTTGGTGTATGGAATGATTGTAAGGTGTACATGTCTAGCGGGCAGGTGTCATCTGACCTTGACCTCATTTTCATGGTTCAGTGGTCAAAGTTAAGTTTTTGAGTTTTGGTCTTTTTTTCTAATACTTTGTGCAATAGTTCAACTATATTTGGTATGTGCGTACCTTGCAAGGTCCTCATGCCCGTCAGACAGTTTTCACTTGACCTCGACCTCATTTCATGGATCAGTGAACAAGGTTTAGTTTTGGTGGTCAAGTCCATATCTCAGATACTATAAGCAATAGGTCTAGTATATTCGGTGTATGGAAGGACTGTAAGGTGTACATGTCCAACTGGCAGGTGTCATCTGACCTTGACCTCATTTTCATGGTTCAGTGGTTATAGTTAAGTTTTTGTGTTTTGGTCTGTTTTTCTTATACTGTATGCCATAGGTCTACTATATTTGGTGTATGGAATGATTGTAAGGTGTACATGTCTAGCGGGCAGGTGTCATTTGACCTTGACCTCATTTTCATGGTTCAGTGGTCAAAGTTAAGTTTTTGAGTTTTGGTCTTTTTTTCTAATACTATGTGCAATAGTTCAACTATATTTGGTATGTGCGTACCTTGCAAGGTCCTCATGCCCATCAGACAGTTTACACTTGACCTTGACCTCATTTCATGGATCAGTGAACAAGGTTAAGTTTTGGTGGTCAAGTCCATATCTCAGGTACTATAAGCAATAGGTCTAGTATATTCGGTGTATGGAAGGACTGTAAGGTGTACATGTCCAACTGGCAGGTGTCATCTGACCTTGACCTCATTTTCATGGTTCAGTGGTTATAGTTAAGTTTTTGTGTTTTGGTCTGTTTTTCTTAAACTATAAGCAATAGGTCAACTATATTTGTTGTATGGAAGAATTGTTAGCTGTACATGCCTGCCTAGCATGGTTCATCTGACCTTGACCTCATTTTCATGGTTCATTGGTCAATGTTTAGTTTACTTGGTTAATGTTAAGTTTATGTGACAGTTGTAATAAAGCTTTATATTTAGGACTATCAACATAATATCAATGATTAGTAAAGAAGGCGAGACATTTCAGCGTGTGCACTCTTGTTTTTATAAATTTCTAATATAACATTGAGAAGTTATTGAACTTTATTTGTTTATTATAGTCTGACAACAGATTTACTAGTATTGTGCAACAGCACAGAGTATTGCACAACAGAAAGAAATCTTTAATTGAATATAAATTCAATTCATATAACCAATTTCAAGTTCTTTGACTACATTTATCAGAAACCTATAATATGTCAAATATTTAATTACAATCCAAATTAAGACCTGTATCAAGCTTGAATATTGTGTCCATTTTTGCCCCAACTGTTCAGGGTTGGACCTCTGCGGGCGTATCCAGCTGCGCTCAGCGAAGCAGTTTATTGTACATGATATTTAAAAAAAAAATGGCTGGCTACTATAAATGCAGAAATTTGCGAGGTTTGTGGAAAGATTGGAACTATTGTTCCAAGTCTTTCCTAAGGCAATGGCCTCTCTTACAAGAAGTAGCACAGGTAAGCTACTAAAATCTACAAAATGTATACACACTGAAATATAGTTCCTTATGATTCTCATGTATGTGTAGTTTTTTTGTCGAGCCTGCGACTTTTGTCGCAGAAAGCTCGACATAGGGATAGTGATCCGGCGGCGGCGTTAGCTTACTTCTTAAAAGCTTTATATTTTAGAAGGTGGGAGGTCTGGATACTTCATACTTTGTATATGGATGCCTCATGTTACGAAGTTTCCGTCAGTCACATGTCCAATGTCCTTGACCTCATTTTCATGGTTCAGTGACTACTTGAAAAAAAAGTTAACATTTTTTGTAATGTTAAATTCTCTCTTATTATAAGTAATAGGATAACTATATTTGGTATGTGCGTACCTTGCAAGGTCCTCATGCCCGTCAGACAGTTTTCACTTGACCTCGACCTCATTTCATGGATCAGTGAACAAGGTTAAGTTTTGGTGGTCAAGTCCATATCTCGGATACTATAAGCAATAGGTCTAGTATATTCGGTGTATGGAAGGACTGTAAGGTGTACATGTCCAACTGGCAGGTGTCATCTGACCTTGACCTCATTTTCATGGTTCAGTGGTTATAGTTAAGTTTTTGTGTTTTGGTCTGTTTTTCTTATACTGTATGCAATAATAATAATAATATAATAATAATAATAAATTCTTTATTTAAAGAGGGTAAACTCAGTTAGTTACAATAAACTAATCTTCCCTGAGGCCCTCAATAGGTCTACTATATTTGGTGTATGGAATGATTGTAAGGTGTACATGTCTAGCTGGCAGGTGTCATCTGACCTTGACCTCATTTTCATGGTTCAGTGGTCAAAGTTAAGTTTTTGAGTTTTGGTCTTTTTTTCTAATACTATATGCAATAGTTCAACTATATTTGGTGTATGGAAATATTTTATGATATATTTGTCAGTCACGCAGGTTTTTTTTTACCTTGACCTCATTTTCAAGGTCCATTGCTCAGTGTTAAGTCTTTGTGTTTTGGTCTGTTTTTCTTAAACTATAAGCAATAGGTCAACTATATTTGTTGTATGGAAGAATTGTTAGCTGTACTTGCTTGCCTAGCATGGTTCATCTGACCTTGACCTCATTTTCATGGTTCATTGGTCAATGTTTAGTTTACTTGGTTAATGTTAAGTTTATGTGACAGTTGTAATAAAGCTTTATATTTAGGACTATCAACATAATATCAATGATTAGTAAAGAAGGCGAGACATTTCAGCATGTGCACTCTTGTGTGTACATATATATGCACATATGAACTGTGAAAAATTTGGATTATACTTTTATAGCTGTTTATTTTGCCATCTACCAATTTCAATAGAAATTTTTGTGTTCAAAGTTCTAAATCTACATAAAGAGTCACTATTTTTATAATTTTTAATAAAAAAATTTGCGGCCGTATATTGGTATGACTTTGGTGTCGTCGTCCGAAGACACATTGATTTTCACACTCTAACTTAAGTTTAAGTGAATGGATCTCTATGAAATTTTGAAGGTTGGGATTGATTTTGGGGGTTATGGTACCAACAGTTAAGGAATTAGGGGCCAAAAATAAGCATTATTGTAACTTCCAGACATAACTTGTGTGTTAGTGTATGGATCTCACTGACATTGTACCACAAGGTTCCATATCACAAAGGGAATGCTGGGATTGATTTTGGGGGTAATTACCTCAAAATTTTAGAAATTAGGGGCCAAAAAAGGGGCGAAAAACAAGCATTTTTCTAGTTTCATGACAACAACTTGTGTGTGAGTGTATGGATCATTCTGAAATTGTACTACAAGGTTCCATATCACAAAGGAAAAGCTGGAATTGAGTTTGGGGGTAATTGCCCAAAACGTTTAGGAATAAGGGGCCAAAAATAAGCATTTTTCTAGTTTCCAGACAATAACTTGTGTTCAAGTGTGTGGATCTCTCTTAAATTGTACTACAAGGTACCATACCACAAAGGGAAGGCTGGGATTGATTTTGGGGTAATTGCCTCAAAATTTTAGGAATTAGGGGCCAAAAAGGGGCAAAAAAACAAGCATTTTTCTAGTTTCAGGACAATTACTTGTGTGTAAGTGTATTGATCTTTATGAAATTGTACTACAAGGTTCCATATCACAAAGGGAAAGCTGGGTTCGAGTTTGGGGGTAATTGCCCTAAACGTTTAGGAATTTTGGGCTAAAACGGGGCCAAAAAACAAGCATTTTTCTAGTTTCGAGACAATAACTTGTGTTCAAGTGTATGGATCTCTCTTAAATTGTAGTGCAAGGTACCATACCACAAAGGGAAGGCTGGGATTGAGTTTGGGAGTGATGAATCATAAGGGGGTTCAAAAAATTTGGGGGGGGGGATTTTTTTTTCTTTAAAATTTTCCATTTTAAATTGGTTATTTCTGATTTATATATAAAAGCAAATAATAATGATATGGCTTGAATAGGTAAATTAAAATTTTTTAAGTTCTTAGACCACATTCATTCTGTGTCAGAAACCTATGCTGTGTCAAACATTTAATTACAATCCAAATTCAGTGCTGTATCAAGCTTGAATGTTGTGTCCATACTTGCCCCAACTGTTCAGGGTTCGACCTCTGCGGTCGTATCAAGCTGCGCCCCAGCGGAGCATTTTATTATGCAAATAAATAGCTATATTATTTAAGGTTATAAATTCAAAATAAATATCACAAATTAGTAGCAAATACTAATACTGAAAGTCTTGCACACTAAAATACAAAATACATATCATGGAATTCATGGGATGTTAATTCAGTTATAATCTCAAAAGATAAGAGTTATTTAGAAAGCACTGCTCCAAAAGTTATTTATACCTGTACTGCAGTATACGTGTACTGAAATGTGTTCATACAGGTGTAATCAATACATTAGACGAGTTTACATGATATATAAAGGTATTGTGTTTAAATATATATATTAGGGTTCAAGATTAGACTTAATGATAAGCTTTTAAAAAGTTATGATTAGTTGGTTTAAACCTAAATGTTTCGAACATAATAATAGAAAATCAATGATAACACTAATTTGGAAATATCTATTCTACTTTAATGTGATTTTTCAAGTTAACTATTTTGAAAAGAATGAATATTGACTTGTAAATTTTCTTTATATATGTGTCAGATTGAATAATAATAATGTGCAAACATTACATAAGTTGAACAGTGGGTATATATATCTTTTCTCTTTGACATGGAAACATAACACATTACCACAGGTCAAAAACAAGACTTATCTTATGAAATACAAATATGGATATGTCTTCAACATAGAATGTTACAATATTTGCTTCCACCATGAGATGCAGGAACAGGAAAATTTATTAATTCTTTGATTCTAATATCAAAATTAAGATGTCTTAAAATACTTGTGTTCTGTGAAAGGAATAGTTCATAACTTTTGGAAAATACTGTGTCTTGTTAAGTCGAGACCAAAATGTATCCCATTCTTACTTCTAGTGTCAGATGGTAAGACTTATCAACATATACATGTAGATCTTTAATTTATGTTTCAATGTACACAAAAAATGTATGTACATGTACAGTGTACATGTGTGTTTCTCATAAATTAGTCAATATAAATAAAAGGAAATATTGGAAAAATCATTGGGACAGCAACCCAAACACACAAGGAAAAAATTAAACAATTTAGAATGAGCAGGATCTAACAGTATTCAGTAAGTCCAAGCACAAAAAAGTAATCCAAGATTCCTCCATACTGCCTGGTTCGGGACTTGCCAGAGGTATTTTTGACTTTTTTCCACATGTTTTAAAATGATTCCAAAAATAGCTTGAAAAAAAGAGTAAGAATACAGAAAAGGGACAATCAAAATAATAAATAAACAGAAAGACAAAATCCTGTCCAAAATAAAAAAAAAGATGAAAAGACAAAAAACAGACCAGAAAAACTAAAGATTAAGCAACATGAACCCCACCAAAAACTCAGAAAGTTAAGCTGTTCCTGCCCCACAACAGACCATTTTCGAGTTATGTCCTTCACTAGAAAAGTTCGTCAATTATGCGCGCCTTTATGACGGCATTTACCAGATAGAGGGGATCGCCTGTATCCCTGCACTGTCTATAAAAGTTTATCAAACGTCTTTGTGATAGTCATTATGCAGGATAAACTAGAAATAATGTTTGTTCCATAGGTACTTCAATCACAATTCCCAATTATATCAGTTATAAGAATTTAATTGGCCCAATAATCTGTGCAATATAGCATCATATTTTTTCAACCGCTCGCTCAACATGGGAGGGAAGTGACAATGCCCCTAAATGCACGAATGATGTTCACTAAAACCAAAGCTTTTGGCATATGCAACGAACTCGAAAGTGGTCAACTATATTTGTTCTCATTGTGTTCTGTGAAAATCATGATAAATGTAAGTACAGTTCAGTGACATGTCATGAACAAGGAAGTATGGAAAGTGCTACAAATGGTACATACATGTACCCACGGTCATCTTTGACACAAATTTCCATACATGTAGGTTAACCAAACCATAATGGCATCTGTAAATTAATTTATCAACACTGTGTATATTTAGTTACTTTTTAGTGACTAATGTGGTTTTATTTCAGGAGCGGGACAGGAGGCAATGCATCAGTATCTTCAGTGTTACTGAGTTCTGAAGAATTAGAAAGATACTTTCCTGATAAAAGATTAAAGATTTGGGTAGGATGTTGGAATATGGGAGAACTTAAGGTAATTAAGATTCAACAATTATATAAGAAAATATCACGTTATTTACAAACTGGAAGAGAAAAGAACAGTGCTTAGACATTTTGAATATTGTGCTTGGAAAAATAGCATTAAGCATAAATACATTGTAGAACAAAATCCATTAACATTGTAACTTTGGTTTCTGTCAGTATTTTTTTATATAGAAAACCAAGTAAATCCTGCAGTTAGGTGTCTTATTATACATTTATAACCCAACAGATTTGCTCTTCTATAATTGTACACTATAAATTTATTGAATTACACCAAATCATTCTTGAACTTCCATGCCAACACCTGAAACACTGGAAAAAAGAACATTTCAACACAATGTTAGACAATTATTTATTTTTGTAAGTAATTACTAAAATTATTTGTTATGTTACAACAAATGATTATTTACTAGAGGAGACAATTTTTATTTGAGCATGATTGATTCATTCCTGAGTAGTGATCATCATCACATTGTTTCAATTTCGCTTTGCAAATATATATTACTCCATGGGGGAACTAAACAAAATTTATTGATTTTTGAAACCATAAAAATGCAATAAAAATGAGTTTACCATTATGTTAAAACAACAATATTATCCAAATTAATTGCAGGATAAAGACAATATGTGTTTAGTGTCTTTAAATATCACCTGTATCTGTGCAAGGCTCGATACAGGTGAAATGATTGCTAAAGGTTGCATTTCACCTGTTTCTTAATTTCATGCAAATACACCTAATATTTAAAAAAATAAATGGGGAATGTGTCCATGGGATGCAGATGATGCCCCCGCTTGCATATAACGTTATATAGGGACATAACTCAAGAACGGTTAAAGTCATGCTACCCAAATTTGTACATGATCTGAGTTTTGTGGTAATAAGCATTGTGTATAAGTTTCATAACATTTGGTTGAGGCCAACTTAAGTTAGAGAACAGAAGATACTTTGCCAACCCTGTTCTAACTACTATTGATCTTTCTGTGTCATTACATGAATTCCATATCTATGATAAACTAGTGAATATGTTGCATATGTTACAGGTCTACATATTATATTTTACATTACAGGAATGCAGTACATCTTTACAAGATTTTGTTTTACCAGAAGCCAGTGAATATGTACAGGATATGTATGTTATAGGAACTCAGGAAAATAGTATGCATAAGTAAGTAAGATCTGTATGTTATAGGAACTCAGGAAAATAGTATGCATAAGTAAGTAAGATATGTATGTTATAGGAACTCAGGAAAATAGTATGCATAAGTAAGTAAGATCTTTATGTTATAGGAACTCAAGAAAATAGTATACATAAGTAAGTAAAATCCATATGTAGGGAATTTGGTTGTAGTTGTATATTACTAGAACACACCCACAACATTGCGAGGCCGTGACTGCATGAATTAAAGTACCTACACCTTATTTTTAGCCTGGATTTTTAGTGTTCGTATTGTCATCTGATAAAGTCATGCTGATTATAAGGTGCACAGTTTTCTCTGCTTCCAAAATCTTTCTGTTTGGACCCATCCTGGTTTTCTTACTTTAATTCTCATCTGTATATCAAACTATTGAATTTTAGAACCCTTCACACGATGTAAATATCCTTTTTAATATTTGTTAAGTGTTAAACCTATATATTCCAAGTGAGAGTGCTCCGATATATAATGGAGGATCAGTAACCTATACAGAACCGAACTACAAACAGAAACTACTGGTGACATATACTACTGGTATCGGTATGGGATTCGACCCGGAACTTGTTTATTACTGGTAATATTAATCATGTGGAAAACAAAAGGGCCTGGAATGGTGCAATTTTTTATCAACACCATTGTCCTATATTGGTTATACATAAAGTTTATTTCTTTAATTTGTTGTTTTTATGTCATGCCGGCTAACAAATTGGACCTCGTTCTTTTAGTAATATAGATATAAAGTCTCTGAAACATGTTTCAAACATTTATGCCACATTATCCCTTTGCTTTCCACTTTCCAGCGTACTTTCCATTATACATGTACCATTGGAAGTATTTAATCATTCTCAGTGTGATGAACAATTCTTAAGATATTATCGTACATTAACAATCACAATCTTTCTAAATTAAATAAATACATTTCATATTCCTGTTTCAAGGAAGTACATCAACAGAAGATCTAACCAGTGTAGGGATTGTTTATGTTTCATTTCATTTTGTAATTATCATTTCAGAAAAGAATGGGAGATACAGATCCAAGCTACATTAGGAATGTCACATGTTTTATTCCATTCTGCTACTCATGGTGCCCTTCATCTTGCCATATTTATACGCAGAGATCTTATTTGGTTTTGTTCTGGTAAGTTGACATGAAGTTGATATTTGTCACTATGTTTTCTTGACGTTTTAAGGAGAAAAGCTAAAGCTTGATACTAGTATGTAGATTTTCACAATAATCTAGTTAATTGACAAAAAGAAAAAGGCACGGAAGAGGAAATCACAGCCAATTTTGTCGCAGTTAAACAATAAAAAAAGGATCTTATCTATCCATTTTGTGTAATCTGACATGTAATGCATATACATCAGTTTCACTAATTTCATTAGTGCAGTCAAACTAAACATTTGTAAACAAAAATAAAGTAAATGTTGACGCTGACTCAAATAAGTTGTCTGAACCTATCAATATTGTATACTTATTTACATCAAAAATTTTAACAAGATTTAGTAGTCTCTTTGGTGTTTATGCTGCTGAAAATTAATGTTAGTTGATTAATAAGTTGTGGATATAGTATAAATAAGTTGTGGATATAGTATAACTAATACAATTTTTATAATGGAATTTGTTTTTATTTTATATAGAGCAAAACAGATACCAATGCAAGTAACAACAAGAACGTTTACGATGGTGAAGTCCAAAAGAGTAGTTTTTGTATCCATTTCATGGTTTCTTTTTTATCTTTTCAGTGCCAGATGAAGATCAAGTAACAACTAGGGCTGTTACCATGGTTAAGACCAAGGGAGCAGTTGCTATAGCATTTTCATTTTTTGGAACTTCCTTTGTTTTTCTTAATTGTCATTTTACTTGTGAGTATAGTAAACAAATATATCAAATTAAATTACTGTAAATTCAGAAATTATTGCGTGCATTTATTATTGCAATTTTTAAAGAATGGACAAAAATGCAAGATTAATTATAGCGATTTCAGGAAAATTTGCATACAGATATATGTTTCAGATATCAGAATGTGAGGTCTTGTTATTATGATATTTACCAAGTCGCATTATTCGCATCAATAAAAACTCCCAATAATTTCTGAATGTTCAGTATGGTGTCAGAATGACGATTATTTTATATGCAATATGCAAATTATATTTATGATTACTGTGGATTCATTTATTTTTTCGTGGATACAAAGTTTAGTGGATTGAAGAAGAATTGTTTTTTCATGGATATTTGGTTTCATGGTTCGGCCAAAGTCAGCAAACAAGCCGTTAGAAAATTGGACTTTGTTAAAAATTTGAATTTGTGGTTTACCTTTACCAACGAAATCCATGAATATTGTTATCCCACGAATAATGACAAATCCACAGTACTCCAAGTACACGGTCAACAAGTTGGAAGGTATTTACATACACAAATTGATAACATATCAGTACATAATTAAGGTTTCTTGTGTAAACACTTAGAAACAAGATGAAGACCATGTACTGTGGTCTGTATCTTTATATCCCAGGGCTAAAGTGATTATTTGGTCAATATTTCTACATCATTATATGATCAGTAAGCATATTATTATTATAACTCACGGAAGGAATATTCTAGGAAAAAATGTAATAAAGCTCATCAAAGATACCAGGCTTATAATTTTGTACGCCAGACGACATTTCTTCTACATAAAACTCATCAGTGAGTAATATAAATGTATGAAATGGATTTCACTGTACATGATCATGATTTTGGAAAAGCATTAGTGTTTATGCATATATTACTATCGTAAAATTGCATTATACAAATAGACAAATTGATAATGGGAGGAAGAAACAAGAACACAGCTCTTATTTATTTCATTACCTTGAGCGCCCGTCATCAGATATGCTCCAGACCAGGCATGGGGCTAATTACATTGCAATGTAATGCATTATATTACAATTACTTTGACAAAACCATGCATTAAATTACAATTACAATTACATTCATTTATCAAAGTAATGTATTACATTACAATTACTTTTGCAAAGTAATGCATTGAATTACACATTACATTTGTAAATTTTATTATTAGGTGAATAGAAAAATCAAACATTTTGAAAAACAGCACGAAGTCACAAAAGATTCTAGCATATGCAGTAACTGTTTCATGCATTGAATTTTTGAAAGTATACATGTAAACAGACTATTTAATTCGGCTATTACATTTTTAATTATTTAACCTTAAGTTGACTTTACTTTTATAAATATACTTTTTGTTTTTTTTAATTTCATTCAAAATATTTAATTACTGAGAATTTCTTTCCTAATTATATAATAAACATAGAGCTTAATAAATGAACAATTGTCAAAATGGTGAAAATACTGATTGTAAAACAAATTAATTAGTGTTTTATAACAAACTTCAATAATCTTTTATTTAATCAAGACAAGGTATTCTTTGATCTTATGACAACAATATAGTAATGCTTTTCAAATATCAATCTTTTTATGCAGGAAAATGTATGAAATAAAGAATATATTCAAATAATTAATATATTCTTAGTTAATCAAGAAATCTTAAATTCTGCTTTAGTTAAATCTCCAACAATATTTTAAAGATGTAGTATGTGAAAAAAGTAATGCCGTGTAATGCAATGTAATGCATGAAATTACACAACTTTTTGCTAAAGTAATGCATAATATTACAATTACATGTAATGCAAAAATTGCTGCATTACACATTACATGCAATTACTTGGAAAAATGTAATGCATTACCATGCATTACAATTACAAATTTGCATTACCCCATGCCTGCTCCAGACATAAAGTTTTGGAAACCAAATACATGAAGGTTAAGTTTGCAATATTCATACAAGTAGTTCATCCATTCCTGATTATTAGGGATAACTATCGGTAAGCTGGGAGAATATTGTTGATTTAAGCATTTTTCTTGTAAAAACAATCAAACAAACATTATATTACAACTTTGTGTCATGAGTTATAATGCATATATATATGTTTCTTATGGCAACAGTTTCTAACCTTTTACTGGCAATATTAAACATTAGAAAGTTTGGGATCAAAAAGTCAATAAAAGTATATAAATTCATACACAAAATTTGCATTGATAAGATATATTTTATAAACATAAAATAATCGTCTTTTAAAACACTTAAAAAAAAACCACAACCTTCTGAGTTCAATGGTATTGGGATACAGCCCATGTAACTTAACTGCACTAGAGTGTCAAATTCCCTCACAAAATCTAATTACATACTATACACACTTAACAAATACAAATATGTTTTGATATTTTCAGCTGATGATGGAAAGTTAAAGGATAGAGTTGGTGACTTTCAACGAATAAATTCTACGCTAAAACTTCCAAAGAACCCTACTCAACAAGGTAAATACTGTTTATACCTGTATTGTCTTTTCTTAAGTAATTGATTTAGAAAATTTGTATCACAATTTAATAAACTTTATAATAGATTAAATGTTTTCATGGATGAAAAATATCAAAATAACTGTTTTCAATTGAATATAAATACATGTATATGCATATGATAGAATTAATTGGGAGTCTATGAAATTATCAAGTAACAAGTCATCTTTCAGAATCTAATGCATTCTGGGTAATACTTTTGAAATGTACACCAAAATGTTTGATTGATGAACAATAGATCTTTTAACAATGCCATACAGTTATTTTCATTTTGATGGAAGATCTAGAGCAATGAAATAACTGATAATCCTTTTGATTTTTAAATGGCAAAAAAAAATGACATTGGTATCCATTGTGTCCTTTTATAAGGTATTAATTTCCATTTTAGGTGATATTTCAGCAAATTTTGACAGTGTGTTCTGGTTAGGTGATTTGAATTTCCGTATTGATAAAGGTCGCCGTACTGTGGAAGACATTGTCAAGGCTATTGTTGAACAAGATCATCCCAACTTTGAAGATTTATTGAACACTGATGAATTACTTAATTGTTTACTTCAAGGTAAGAATTCTGAGAAAATCAGTCATTGTCAAAGCTTCATAAAGTCAGCAGAAATTTATTGATTTAAGTGTGATTTTAATCAAATATATGGTAACTCAGATAATTTAATGCAATAGTACACCATTTTTCATATTGCCCAGGTGTCGAATAAAACTCAAATCATTAGTTACAGAATATATTTTTTTGTCTAGCCTGAAAAATATTTTTTAAAGATTATTCTGTTTCAAGAGAATCACAGAGAAAAAACTGTAATTAGTCACTGCATATAACTTGATGAATTTAGTGTTTTACAACTATTGTAAAAGTTTTGTTTGTGTCTTTTAGAAAAAGTATTTCAAGGGTACCAAGAAGGGAGAATTAATTTTAAACCAACATATAAATTTGATTTGGAAACAGATAATTATGATACTTCAGCTAAACTTAGAATTCCATCATATACCGTAAGTATAAACTTGAAGTTAACTTCAGGGGAGGTAACTTAGAAATTTTCATCCCACAGCTATCATAGTAGGTGGACATATCAGGTTAAAGTTTTGGTTTAATGAAGTTTACCTTGAAGTTGTTGTCACTTCAACTTGAAACCTAGTATCCTTGTTCATTATGATGTAAACTTATTAAAATATACGCCAAATTTCGGGTTTTGACTCATAATTCACGGTTCGCTGAACATGGGAATATGATAACTTTAAAACTATACATTTCAGGTTAAAGTTTTAGTTTAAGGTATTATACCATGAAATTGTAGTCACATCAACTTGATACTAAGTGGACACATTCATTATGAATTGAACTTTCTAAAATATATCCCAAATTAAAATTTTGATGTCTAATGAACATATAATCTTGTTTCTCATCTGAAATGAGAATTCCCGTAAATTCAGAAATTATTGCATGCATTTATTATTGCGAATTTTGCATAATGGACAAAAATGCGAGATTAATTATTGCAATTTGTGGAAAAGCTGCATACAGATATATCTGTCAGATATAAGAATGTGAGTTCTTCTTATTGCGATTCTCACCCAGTCGCATTATTCGCAATAATAAAAACCTCGCAATAATTTCTGAATTTACAGTATTACTAAGTTTAAGCAATATAGCATCACAATACCCTGATGGTAAAAGGTATTGGAGAGAATACTGACAGTAGGAAAGCTGTTATAAGTTTGAAATAAATATATCAAAAGCAAATGTAAATAAATTGATGATTTTCTTATTAGACAGAATTTTTTATTAAAATCATTCATCAGTTGTTTAAAATGTAAAAGTTGATTCTTAAAACCTTACTAACATTATGACAAGGGAGCTAACTCTATACAAATAGAATTGATGAAAAGACTTTGAAAATGTTTGCACAGACAGGCAAGACAAATAAGTATAGTTTGATGCACTGTTACATAAAAATTGAGTTTTCTATATATTTTTAGTTATTCTCTTATGATATGAAAAATTTGTCACTGATTTTGAAAACATTACAAAAAATAAATTCACTTTTGTCATAGAATATATTGAAATTTATTCTAATACTTTTTAGTCAAGAATGTACATGATTTGATTGTTCTAAATATTTTCAGGACAGAGTTTTATTTCATTCTAAGAAAAAGAATGGTATATCATGTACACATTATGATGCAGTTATGAATGTTAAGAAATCTGACCACCGTCCAGTGTATGGGCTGTATGATGTCATACTGAAAGCTGGAAGGGACGGTATACAAATGTCAGCAGGACAATTTGACAGAGAAGTTTATGTTGAAGGTATTTTATGTCATCTGAAAGTTTATTTTCGTAGGTTTAATTTCTTCGACATGGTAAATAAAAGTTTGATTTCAAGAATTATTATTTTATATTAATTGGAGAATAAGTCGATGTATAAAATCATACATAATAACCTTGAAATAAAATCACATTTACAAAGAATTTTTAAAAAAAAGGAATGAGTAAATTTATTTTTTACCCCCGCCTATTGAAAAACCATTTGAAAGTTTATTTTGTCAACAATTTGAAAACATGACATGCACGTACTTTAAACAAAAAAAAAATTAAACCATGGATATCAATGAATTAATCGAAGGTTGGTGGTTCTCTCTGGGCACTCCTGCTCCCTTCACCGATAAAAACTGACCGCCACGAAATAGCACAATAGTGTTGAAAGTGGCGTTAAACACCAATCAATCAAATCAATTTATTGTCAAATATTGATCACAGCATACTCCATTTATTTTTTTATAAAATTTGTAAGTCATAAAAATCCACATGCAAGATATTGACTGTAAGACTGCATAATTCCAGCTGCCAAGAGGAGAAGCTTCATACCAGAGGAGATAACAAAAAAGGACCAGAAATCCAGTGGAGTTTGTTCTGTACAGTGATATAAAAGTGCTAAAATATACCTAGACAGTGGTCCTGGTGAGATCAGGGTACAACAGAATATCAAAGACCACTGAATGGTGGATAGATGGGAAGAAATACTATGAAACATCTGGCTGTGACTAGACAAGAAATCGGAAGATTTAGATTAAACAGTTTTATCATAGAACATTTTATATATAAAACTGTTTTAGTTAGATGCACAGCTTTATCTGCAATGATGCTAAATACTCGAGTTCATCATTTATACAAACAACAAGCAGTTTGAAAAAAATATGACATGAAATATTTTTTAAAAGACGCCAAGTGAACAATGCTTTTTATGACTTTTTATTAATTATTTAATGCTGGTAGTTTAACACAGACATCGAATATCTATTTTATGTGTTATTTGTGATGTTTTAAGCTGTTTTAATATTGCATCTTATCTGAAAGAAATAATGGTTATGTTATCAAATGTTCATGTAAACCAAATTATCATTAATTTAGTGTCCTAAACGTTTTTGTTTCTTGGAAAGGTTGGATTGTATAGTACTGCAATCATGTTGTCCATCTGAATTTTTTTCCAATTCATTCTCTCGTCTGTCTATCTGTCACTTTGGTTAAATGTTAGTCAGGTTACCGATATGTATTAAGGAATGATTTGATATTTGGTGTGAATCTTGTTTTGTGTAAGCAATTTTAAGATCTGTCGGATAGTACTTCCTGTGCTTCTTGTTTATTTTCAGTGAAACCTGTCTTAATCTCTTAACTGATAACCAAGATAAAGCGGAAACATATTTTTACTGATTTGATTCACCAGTTTTATACACTCGAATTGAGCGTTATAAAAGCCATTCATGAATATTGATTTTCAAAATAATTATGAAAAACCTGTATGAATATTTTTTTTAAAAGAAAAGAAAATAGTAGTGCCCTCATGTGTGTCATCTCACACAGGACATGCTTTAATAGGCTGTCTAATCTACACATAGTTTTTCAGTTTCAAAAAGAGATTTAACTTGTTTAGTGCACATCAGTATTTTGATAGATTCACAGTCTATGTACCACTTGTATGTTTTATCATGAACATTAGATGATATAAAATTAAGACACGATTTTATAAACCAACTTAGCTTTAAAAGTAATTAATAAATGTTACTATCATTGAGCATACAACTTCAATATATTTAAGTTAAATACTGACTCAGGAAATTGGACTACTTAGTTTGTGTTCTTCATACTATCCAATATTGTATAAACATGTTCATGGCTGTAATTTTTAGTCAAGTGTCTGCTTCCATTTTTATACAACTTAAACATTCCATTGTTTATCAGTGCTGGTTATCAACTCCATGAAAGATTCACACAAATGTTGTTTCTGAATATTTATTTTATGGAGAGAAAAAAAAAGAATTTAGTGTTATATCTTACATGGAGTTGTACATAGTTATTTGTATGTAGTAGAACAGTATAGTTTAATTATGTTCATCTTAGTTCACAAAATATTTTGGTACATATGTATTTCTGCTATTGAAATTTTTCTTTAAATATTTATCTATAAATACCAATTTAGAAATGGGGTTACATTATGGTAATTCGTTATAAACTCACTGATTGGATCATGGTAATACATTATAAAATCACTGATTGGTCCAGTTGCATTATGGTAATCTGTTATAAACTCACTGATTGGTACAGAAGTCATTTACAAAGACACTGAGACTTCACAACTTTTATAGAGATGGAAGTTGATTCTGAATTTTCCATTAAAATATACAGAGGAATTTTCAACTGATATTTGATTTTATTATAAAAATAATTGTGCCAAGTTATTAAACAGAAAAGTAATTTTTCTTTAACCATGTTAACCATCCGTCCTGTATTCATGAAAAATATTTTTTCCTCAATGCATACAAATTGTTTCTTCTGAAATATATGAATCCATAATATTTAAACTTAGTTTAAGATTAGTTCTTTTTTATGAACAATATATTATTTATCTATTTATCTTTGTTAAAGGGAAACAACACATTAAAAAGTAATTTGGATAACTTTTTGTTATGAATATTTGAGATCATTTAAATCATGTTCTAGTCAGTATGGCACCATTATTGGAAATAGTTTAGTTAGTAAACTAAATGTTACAATGTTTTGTTTTGTAGTGGTCTGTCCTAAAATAATATGGAAATTTAGAACTATTAAAAAATTTTTCAATTAAAAAACAAAGAATAGAAAATTTGATTTTTTTTGTCACCTGTTATGTCAAAGTGAAATGACAAATTTTTGTTCTATTTTAAATGCTTTTTTAAATTCAAAACATAAAAGTTCAGTTTTAAGATTTTTATTACATTTTACAGTGTTGTGTTAGTAGATGAATGTATGATAGTACGGAAAGAGGCAGCAAAAGAATATTGCATTTATCTTGCATTCTTCATGTATATCATAAGCTTACATTAAAGTTACATAAAAGAATCTGATGAGTTAAGCCTCTTTCAACTGATTTTTATAGTTCGTTCTTATGTTGTACTTTTACACCACTGTCCCAGGTTTGGGGGAGGGTTGGGATCCCGCTAACATGTTTAACCCCGCCACATTCTGAATGTATGTGCCTGTCCCAAGTCAGGAGCCTATAATTCAGTGGTTGTCGTTTGTTAATGTGTTACATATTTGTTATTCATTCATTTTTATACGACCGCAAAAATTTTGAGGTCGTATATTGGTATGACGTTGGCGTCGTCGTCGTCCGAAGACACATTAGTTTTCGCACTATAACTTTAGTTTAAGTGAATGGATCTCTATGAAATTTTATCGTAAGGTTCAATACCACAAAAGGAAGGTTGGGAATGATTTTGGGGGTTATGGTACCAACAGTTAAGGAATTAGGGGCCAAAAAGGGGACAAAAATAAGCATTTTTGTAATTTCCAGACAATAACTTGTGTGTAAGTGTATGGATCTCTCTGACATTGTACCACAAGGTTCCATATCACAAAGGGAAGGCTATAATTGATTTTGGGGGTAATTGCCTCAAAATTTAGGAATTAGGGGCCAAAAAAGGGGTAAAAAACAAGCATTTTTCTAGTTTCATGACAATAACTTGTGTGTAAGTGTTTGGATATTTCTGAAATTGTACTACAAGGTTCCATATCACAAAGGGAAAGCTGGGTTTGAGTTTGGGGGTAATTGCCTGAAACGTTTAGAAATTGGGGGCCAAAAAGGGGCCAAAAAACACATTTTTCTAGTTTCCAGACAATAACTTTTGTTCAAGTGTATGGATCTCTCTGAAATTGTACTGCAAGGTACCATACCACAAAGGGAAGGCTGGGATTGAGTTTGGGGGTGATGAATCATAAGGGGGTTCAAAAAATTTGGGGGGGGGGGGATTTTTTTTTCTTTCTTTTTTTTCTTTTTTTCCTTTTTTTTTTCTTTTAAAATTTTCCATTTTAAGTTGGTTATTTCTGATTTATATTTAAAAGCAAATAATAATGATATGGTAGGAGATACACACCAAACAGGATGTGTAAATTATTATATAATAAGTATTGTGCAATAGCAAGAAATTTTCAATTGCACAGTATTGCGCAATAGCAAGAAATATCCAATAGCACAATATTGCGCAATAGCAAGAAATTGTCAATTGTACAGTATTGCGCAATAGCAAGAAATATTCAATTGCACAGTATTGCTCAATAGCAAGAAATATTCAATTGCACAGTATTGCGCAATTGCAAGAAATATCCAATAGCACAATATTGTGCAATAGCAAGAAATTGTCAATTGTACAGTATTGCGCAATAGCAAGAAATATTCAATTGCACAGTATTGTGCAAAAGAAGTTACTTCGTATAAATTGCTTATTTCTTGACCAATTTCAATGGGGTTTTATTCTTGGGGTTCTTTAATATGGTGAATCTAACCGTGTATTAAGTTTTTGGATTTTGGGCCCCGTTTTTAAATTGGTCCACATTGAGGTCCAAAGGGTCCAAAATTAAACTTTGTTTGATTTCATCAAAAATTGAATTATTGGGGTTCTTTGATATGCCGAATCTAATCATGTATTTAGATTCTTAATTTTTGGTTCCGTTTTCAAATTGGTCTACATTAAGGTCCAAAGGGTCCAAAATTAAACTTAGTTTGATTTTAACAAAAATTGAATTTTTAGTGTTCTTTGATATGCTGAATCTAAACATGTATTTAGATTTTTTATTATGGGCCCCGTTATCAACTTTGTCCACATTGAGGTCAAAAGGGTCCAAAATTAAACTTTGTTTGATTTCATCAAAAATTGAATTCTTGGGGTTCTTTGATATGCTGAATCTAACCATGTATTTAGATTTTGGATATTGGACCATAATAGGTGAATGTCCAATTTGAAATTTTTAAGTTCTTAGACCACATTCATTCTGTGTCAGAAACCTATGCTGTGTCAAATATTTAATCACAATCCAAATTCAGAGCTGTATCAAGCTTGAAAGTTGTGTCCATACTTGCCCCAACTGTTCAGGGTTCGACCTCTGCGGTCGTATCAAGCTGCGCCCTGCGGAGCATTTTATTTGTACATAAATTAGGCCGTTAGTTTTCTCGTTTAAATTGTTTTACATTGTCATTTCGGGACCTTTTATAGCTGACTGTGCGGTATGGGCTTTGCTCATTGTTGAAGGCCGTACGGTGACCTATAGTTGTTAATTTCTGTGTCATTTTGTCTCTTGTGGAGAGTTGTCTCATTGGCAATCATACCACATCTTCTTTTTTATAGTTAGTGTAAAGCATATTTATTTTACACCATTGGTCAATTACAGTTGTTCATTGTAATGAAGGGAGCATTCAAGAATGAAACACTACATGTTTTGTAATTTATCTAAAGAGATGTGTACAGCAATGAGACAGCAACCCAATAAGAAATTGTGTATAAGACATCTAGAGAATTACTTTTACAGTCTAGAATAATAGACAATAATGTATACAATATCTCAAGCTCTTAATTATATAATCCTCTGGTATTTTAATTTTTTTTTTAGAATAAGCAGAGATGCTCTCTCTCCCTTTCATGTACATCCCATAAAGTATAAAAGAGTTGTGATGACAAAGTGATACTTCTGAGAAAAATTCTGATGACTCAGTTTTGTAGCAAGTATCTGCTACATTAAATTCTGAAATTATAGCATGCATTTATTAATGCGATTTTTAAGGAATGGACAAAAATGTGAGATTAATTATTGCGATTTTAGAAACATTTGCATACAGATATGTGTATCAGATTTCAGAATGCGAGTTCTTATTATTGCAATACTCAGGCAGTCGCTAATGAAGAAAATGTTAAAATTGTGAATTCTTGTCAAGCTCAAAGACCTTGCAGAGGAGAAACTTAGACATGCTTTTTCCATCAGTGGAATGAGTAGCAACACATAGTTGAGAAAAACTTAAAATTGATACTCATAATTTCTAATCACCCTCTTTCCCTTCCTTTCTAACAAATTAAGCTTACTGTTTGTGTCATATATTTGAAATTCTATGGAAGGCATCTTCCATAGGTTTGATTTCCAATAATTTAAATGGTGAAATATAATCTTTTTTTGGTGTAACCATGGCAACAATCTGCATTTATATTCAATACAAAATATTGCAAAAAATGGGGTGAAAATTTGGTCAAAAGTAGAATTTCAATCCTTTTGTGTGATACCTTTTTTATAAAAACCATTGACATTTATCGATCAAGAGATCAGATAAAAATCATACCTTTTTTTTCTCATAAAATTGCATCGAAAAGTGTGAGTGAAAAAAGTTGTTATAAAACATAACAATAATTTCTGAACCCTATGACCTGAGTATGGATGTGAAAATACAGACTGTCAAATAGAAAATGGCCCATAAAACAGCCAATCTTGATGTATATACATGTTTAAATGCACTTTGAAGGCTATATTATTCTTCAGCTATCTAAAATTAAAAAAATTAATTTATCGCACAATAATGTTCATACTTGAAAAATTCACCAGGGCTAAAATGGGAATCCACACTCCTAAATGTGTATTAGCCAAGGAATTTGTTTTTGTCCCGGCCGATAAAGCTGCTAATAATATTATTATTGTTTGACGTAAATTTTACATTGAGGTTCTGAAAAAGAAATCACCAATTCACCAACATTCCAACTGACTCCATTTTCAGAAAACGACATCTGTAACAAACAAACTTTTAGCTACCGCTTTACAAGCAGAACCAAATACAATGAAAGTCCCAACTATGTATTGGCTTCCAAAGCTACACAAAACACCTTACAAATATAGATTCATTTCGTCTTCAAGCCATTGTTCCACTACTAAATTGTCTATTCTTCTTACCAGTACACTTGGTACAATCAAAAATCTGATAATAAATTGTTCAAATAAGGCCTTCGAAAATAGTGGAATTAATTACTTTTGGAGTGTCAAGAACTCGTTCGAAGTACTTGATAAATTGCATGCATATATTGGTGATTTTGAATCTGTTCAAAGTTTTGATTTCTCTACCCTATATACCACATTGCCTCACATTCTCATTAAGAAAAAATTCACACACCTAATTAAATGGGCATTTAAAAAGTCAGAATGTGAATATATATGTTCAAACTCTTTTGGTCATTTTTTAGTAGCAATAAACAAAAAAACTATGTCAATTGGACATGCTTTGATACTATATATGCCCTTGAATTTTTACTAGATAACATTTTTGTTCGCTTTGGAGATTCCGTATATCGTCAGGTTATCGGAATTCCAATGGGGACTAACTGTGCACCACTTATTGCGGACCTTTTTTTGTATTGCTATGAGTTACAATTTATGACAAAAATTAGCAAAGACCCATCGAAACAACATCTGATACACAAATTTAATAATACTTTTAGATATTTGGATGATATTTTGGCTCTCAATAATGACGACTTCAGTATGTATACTAAAGAAATTTATCCTGTTGAACTTACTTTAAATAAAGCTAATACTAACAATGACCACTGCCCTTTCCTCGATCTTGATATCTATATCATTAACGGAAAGCTTAATACTAAAATATATGATAAAAGAGATGATTTTTCATTTCCTATCGTTAATTATCCATTTTTAGATGGTGACGTTCCCTTGTCACCATCTTACGGTGTTTATATATCTCAACTTGTACGATTCGTTCGTGTATGTAACAATGTTTTAGATTTTAACGAGAGAAATTTATGTATTACTGAAAAATTATTACACCAGGGTTTTCGATATCACAAACTAGTCAAAACATTTACTAAATTTTATCATCCGTATAAGGACATCATTCGTAAATATAGCTCAACATGCAGACTTCTTATACGTTCAGGTATTTCACATCCAATTTTTTATGGAAATATTCTTTATAAAGCACAAAAATGTCAGTATTCACCTCTGAAGCTAACAAAACCTTTAAATAAACTTATTAAGAAGGGATATAGTTACGATACTGTTGTCAGGTCATTAAA